GCGGTCTTATATTGCAGTGTCTAGATTGGTTATACAGGATAATATCATGCCAAGATGGGTAATGCGGTCTTATATTGCAGTGTCTAGATTGGTTATACAGGATAATATCATGCCAAGATGGGTAATGCGGTCTTATATTGCAGTGTCTAGATTGGTTATATAGGATAATATCATGCCAAGATGGGACATGTGGTCTTATATTGCAGTGTCTAGATTGGTTATACAGGATAATATCATGCCAAGATGGGTAATGCGGTCTTATATTGCAGTGTCTAGATTGGTTATACAGGATAATATCATGCCAAGATGAGTAATGCGGTCTTATATTGCAGTGTCTAGATTGGTTATACAGGATAATATCATGCCAAGATGGGTAATGCGGTCTTATATTGCAGTGTCTAGATTGGTTATACAGGATAATATCATGCCAAGATGGGTAATGCGGTCTTATATTGCAGTGTCTAGATTGGTTATACAGGATAATATCATGCCAAGATGGGTAATGCAGTCTTATATTGCAGTGTCTAGATTGGTTAAACAGGATAATATCATGCCAAGATGGGTAATGCGGTCTTATATTGCAGTGTCGAGATTGGTTATACAGGATAATATCATGCCAAGATGGGTAATGCGGTCTTATATTGCAGTGTCTAGATTGGTTATACAGGATAATATCATGCCAAGATGGGTAATGCGGTCTTATATTGCAGTGTCTAGATTGGTTATACAGGATAATATCATGCCAAGATGAGTAATGCGGTCTTATATTGCAGTGTCGAGATTGGTTATACAGGATAATATCATGCCAAGATGGGTAATGCGGTCTTATATTGCAGTGTCGAGATTGGTTATACAGGATAATATCATGTCAAGATGAGTAATGCGGTCTTACATTGCAGTGTCTAGATTGGTTATACAGGATAATATCATGCCAAGATGGGTAATGCAGTGTCTAGATTGGTTATACAGGATAATATCATGCCAAGATGGGTAATGCGGTCTTATATTGCAGTGTCTAGATTGGTTATACAGGATAATATCATGCCTAGATGGGTAATGCGGTCTTATATTGCAGTGTCTAGATTGGTTATATAGGATAATATCATGCCAAGATGGGACATGTGGTCTTATATTGCAGTGTCTAGATTGTTTATACAGGATAGTATGATGCCAAGATGGGTAATGCGGTCTTATATTGCAGTGTCTAGATTGGTTATACAGGATAATATCATGCAATGACGGGTAATATTTTCTCATCTTGTAATGCCTAGATGGGTAATAAGGTATTTATAACTTAACAGCTGAATGTCTTCTGTGGTCTTATATTATATTACCTACATAGTTAACACAAGCTAATGTTCAAATGGTGAGATAGATAATACTGGCTTATGTTGTTTATTGTATGTTGTAATACCAACATTTTCATGAATATTACCAGCTGAGCAGTTTATTTGTGTCCAAATATATTTTTTGCCGACTAAATCATAACATAACACATTGTAGCAAATAATTTTTACAGAATGCAATCGATAAATAATATTGATAGTGTATTTGGATGTACAGATGGAGCCGTTTTTAATGGTTAAATAAGTATGTCCTAGTAAATCTGTTTGTCTTACATTAGGTTTTGAAAAGTGAACATTGCTTTGTAATTTGGTGGTTCAAGTTTTGTACAAAACATGTGATCATCCGCGGTTTGTTTTACAGGGTCTGCCTGGTCAGACTGGCCCACCTGGAGATGCAGGCGAGTCTGGACAGAAGGTAGGTGTAATAACAACTACAATAATAATATTAATAATTATAATAATAGACGGGGCAAGGGCCCTGAGATGATGATGAGCTTAACCAGCCTGACTGTGCCAGGATCACCCAAACCCTCTTTGCTGCATTTAAAAAAATTTAATCTGTAAATAATAATAATGATAATAATAATAAAAAAAATTATTACACAGGTCAAATTTTTATTCCCAACTCCCTGGGAAGTATACAACCCAACCTGCTATATTAGGTGCCAGATGTAGAACCATAACATGAAGTCTATCCCTCCCTTAGTGGACAGATAGCCTACATTTACACTATATAATACTGCACCTATTTATCCCACAGTGAGGTGTTATTGAATGTATACACTGCTTGTGTTCCAGGGAGAGGCCGGCACACCAGGAACTGATGGAGAGCCAGGACCACCAGGAGTCATGGTGAGTTGCTTGTAGGACATGGAGACATCCAACACTGGGCTTACTCCTGGGATGGTGGGCGGGGGCGAGTGTTACTACATTCCTATCCGGTATTGTTATACCTCTATTAAGAATCTTGCAATTTGATTGGTTAATCCGTACCACGTGACAAAAACAATACATTTCAATGTAGACCCTGAAATCATTTGACTGACACTAACCTCGAATATTGACTCGTCACATGATCAGTATTGACCTGTCACATGATGAATATTGACTCGTCTACAAGAAAAACTAGATGGCGTCTGGTACAAACATTTCACGGTTTGTATTAAAGTTACTGTAATGAAAAAGAGGACGGTTTAAAGTGAATTTCGGTATAACAAAACAAATGATTACTCTTGACAAGGTCAATATGCAAAAACAAGTTGTTTTTTTTACCTCGTCAAGAGTAATTATTTTTATAGTGTCAGCTGACTATTATACCAGTTACCACATACCTTTTGTGCTATGTGTTCATACATTATGGCAAAATGCACATTTGATTTGGTAATTCACACTTTCACCGTCTTCAAGTTACACTTACCGTATTCGACGTAATAAGCGCCCTGCTCTAATAAGCGCCCACGGCAATATTTGTTAATATATTGGCTAGTGAACAATCTCAATTAGCACCCCTTCCAATTGATTAATGTACACAAGACTTATTTATTTGTGTATAATACGCACTCGTATGTTATATGCACCCTTAATTATGGGCGATTAAATTCTGGGAAAATATATCTGTCGTATATAAACATTTCAGGCTGTCAGCATAAACCACGAAATTTACGATCTTTCAACTCAAAATAATATTCTAGTAAGAGCCCCCTATTTCTAATTTTGAGAGCGCCCTGGGCGCTTATTACGTCAAATACGGTAGTTCTAATTAGGTGACTTATTCAAGCAACCGTTCTTTTCCATACTTCAATTTATAATGGAATTGAAGCCATTTTATCTTGGTATAGTTTCACCTGGCTGTCAGCTTACATAGCTACCATATCATTGAGGACATCTGTCATAAAGGTGGATTGTATTATCATGAAACTCAAAACATAGTAAGGCATAAAAAAATAAAAGAATTGGTTCTCAGGCAATGGTTTTTGAAAATATCGTGCTGGCAGGCGGTGTCTTTTGTTTTTGGGCTGTTCAAACTGGTATGTAACCAAACAAACAGTTGTGTAACCAAATAAAAAGTTGTATACAGTCAAACTGGGATAGGGACTCCCTACATAAATGTATTTCCTTGATGAGTAAAATAGTGGAATACAGTATTTGACTACTGCTGGTCTTGGAATTATTAATGAATTTTTGTTTTAAAAAAAAATGAAAATAAAAACAAAAAGTACGCATACTTTATGATGATGTGGGCAGTGCCTGAGAACCATGACTATTATTTTTTTAGCCTACAAATGTTATTATAGATACTAGAATTTTGTTTGACTCATTTCTCTGCCTTCTGTAGGGACCACCTGGACCTCAAGGTGAACCTGGTCTGCCGGGACGATCCGGGAAACAGGTATGTCATTCTGGGATGGACACACAGAAATTTGAGTCAGCATTCCCAGGTCTGAACTTGGCCATGGTGCCTTGGTGCCAACAGAAGGTCACAACAAATTAAATATTTAGTAATGAAATGAAAAGATTTCAAATAAAAACATTTAAAAAAATTGATTGTGGCTATATGTTGTGGCTATTTTGTTTATCATTGTTATCATAATTAGGATTATCACAGATATTATTACAGCACTCAAACTTGCAACTATGAATCTATTTACAAGTTTGCGGATGCTTTATAAAGAGATAATTGTTATATAGCTGTAGTGTATTGTGCTGCAGGGTGAGATGGGTATTGATGGAGAGGGGTATAACTGTTATATAGCAGTGTTGAGCTATGATGTATTGTGCTGCAGGGTGAGATGGGTATTGATGGAGTGAGGTATAACTGTTCTATAGCAGTGTTGAGCTATGATGTATTGTGTTCCAGGGTGAGATGGGTATTGATGGAGAGAGGTATAACTGTTATATAGCAGTGTTCAGCTATGATGTATTGTGCTGCAGGGTGAGATGGGTATTGATGGAGAGAGGTATAACTGTTATATAGCAGTGTTCAGCTATGATGTATTGTGCTGCAGGGTGAGATGGGTATTCCCGGAGTGCAGGGCAGCAGCGGTGGCCCTGGTGAGAAGGGAGATCGTGGTTTGAGAGGACCCCCTGGACAGAGAGGAGCACCTGGACCACCTGTGAGTAACAAATAAATCCCCATGACAGCATCACAAAAGTAATGATTTTTCAAATGGATGAAAAAAGTAATCTTGGTTCTCCCCTTGCTACGTCAGCAGAAAGTCCTCAACAAAACAATTATTTCCTCTTTAGTATGAATAACGACAACCCCAATTCACTCATGTTTTCATATCATTTATAGTTTAAAGAAGATGAGAGGCTAGTTTATCTTAATTATAAGTTTATGGATCCCCCTCCCAACTTCATCAAATGTTGAATAAAATTAAAATTGAAAGAACTCCTTTTTCTTTTGTCTGACTTTGTAAACAAATATATGTTAAAAGATCACATCCAAAGTAGGTCAATGAACCTTTATTTATCATATGTCATTTCTCCCTAGGGTCCTAGTGGAGCTAGTGGACCAGTTGGACCTGTTGGACAGCCTGGACCTGTGGTAAGTTGGATCATGTACCATATGTGAAGGTTTAAATACCTGGCTTAATCATATTTCTGGATATAACTGTATAAATAAATTGCAATTGATTCCTTGGCATTTGATTGGATAATCAAGCAATTTCTTTTGAATTTATGTTTCTAAAAAAAAAAGATAAAATTTGCCCATGCCCACCTGGACTACTGTTTCTTGATTCGTTGATAATAGAATGGGCGGGGCTTGTGTTGCATTATTGCATTGAATGATTGCATTGATTCTGTATTGTTGTCTACATTACGTTAGTGATTCAATAATCAGTCTGCGGAGTTATTCTTGTTGACATATTTTTTTATATGAATTGACTACTTTTGTGTATATGGAGTATAAACATAATACGTAAATGATAAATAATCTGTCTGTGCAGGTATTATTGTTAGAATTGACTGTGTTTGTGTATATGGAGTATAAACATAATATGTTAATGATAAATAATCTGTCTGTGCAGTTATTATTGTTAGAATTGACTGTGTTTGTGTTTATGGAGTTATAAACGTAAAAAATGTTTTTCTTTAAGTTTTTACCTCCATAAATACCAAACATATTAAAGTCACTTCTAAAGTATCCCAATACTTCATATGTAACTGTGTCTCACTGTATGATATGGTGGGAAACTTGATCCCCTGAACTTAATGCTGATAGAGATATTCAGTTTAATAATATGTATTTCAGGGTGAACCAGGAGCTTCTGGACCCCCTGGTATTTCCGGAGACCAAGGAGCTATTGTAAGTATATCCCCCCACATAGTCAGCTTTGTTCACAAAAAGTGTGGTTGATATTGAAATAAATAAGGTTTGTGTAAAATATTTGTGCACTACTTACTTCAGAGAAAGTGTCACAGTATAGCTATTCCGGGTAAAAATAGGCCTCCAGTACCAATACCTGCCTCTCCATGACTATTCCATGGCAGAATATGCCCCAGTACCCAATACGTGTGTCCTCATGACTATTCCAGGGCAGTATTGGCCCCAGTACCCCATACGTGTGTCCTCATGACTATTCCAGGGCAGTATTGGCCCCAGTACCCCATACGTGTGTCCTCATGACTATTCCAGGGCAGTATTGGCCCCAGTACCCCCATACTTGTGTCCTCATGACTATTCCAGGGCAGTATTGGCCCCAGTACCCCATACGTGTGTCCTCATGACAATTGCAGGGCGGAATTGGACCCAGTACCCCATACGTGTGTCCTCATGACAATTGCAGGGCGGAATTGGACCCAGTACCCCATACGTGTGTCCTCATGACTATTCCAGGGCAGTATTGGCCCCAGTACCCCATACGTGTGTCCTCATGACAATTGCAGGGCAGTATTGGCCCCAGTACCCCATACGTGTGTCCTCATGACTATTCCAGGGCAGTATTGGCCCCAGTACCCCATACGTGTGTCCTCATGACAATTGCAGGGCAGTATTGGCCCCAGTACCCCATACGTGTGTCCTCATGACTATTCCAGGGCAGTATTGGCCCCAGTACCCCATACGTGTGTCCTCATGACTATTCCAGGGCAGTATTGGCCCCAGTACCCCATACTTGTCTCAAGACTATTCCAGGTCTGGTTACTGTTCAATGGCTTGGCAGGCCCTGACTCAGGGATTTACAGGCCTCTAGGATATAGCTGCCTGCAGTGAAGAAAACCAAACAATAACTCACTGAGGTTTCAGTCTGAATTGAAATTTGACAAACAGTTAATTTACTATAGCCAAAAGAAGGAATGACCAAACTGATGAAAATAATAATTTTGCTTTACTTTTCAGGGGCCAATTGGACCTGCAGGCCCTAAGGGAAACAGAGGCGTAAAGGGAGTGAAGGTACTGTCAACATGACACTTTTTACAGCTGATGATTCTGTATGTTAACTGGGTCGGCATGACCTAACAGATCCAGAGGAATATAGGGTTGTGTATGTTTACTGGGTCGCCATGACCTCACAGATCCAGAGGAATATAAGGTTGTGTATGTTTACTGGGTTGCCATGACCTCACAGATCAAGAGGAATATAGGGTTGTATATGTTTACTGGGTCGCCATGACCTCACAGATCCAGAGGAATATAGGGTTGTGTATGTAAACTGGGTCGCTATGACCTCACAGATCCAGAGGAATATAGGGTTGTGTATGTTAACTGGGTCGCCATGACCTCACAGATCCAGAGGAATATAGGGTTGTGTATGTTAACTGGGTTGCCATGACCTCACAGATCACGAGGAATATAGGGTTGTGTATGTTAACTGGGTCAACATGACCTCACAGATCAAGAGGAATATAGGGTTGTGTATGTTGACTGGGTCAACATGACCTCACAGAACAAGTATTAGGTTGTATATGTTAACAGTTGCAATGACCTCACAGGTCAAGGGGGATATGGAGTTGTGTATACTGACAGGGTCGCTGTGACCTCACAGGTCAAGAAGGATATAGAGTTGTGTATATTAACAGGGTCGCTGTGACCTCACAAGTCAAGAGGAATATTGTGTTGTGTATATTGACAGGGTCACTGTGACCTCACAAGTCAAGGGGAATATAGAGTCGTGTATGTTATCAGGGTCGCCATGACCTCACAAGTCAAGGGGAATATAGGGTTGTGTATGTTATCAGGGTCGCCGTGACCTCACAAGTCAAGGGGAATATAGGGTTTTGTATGTTATTAGGGTCGCCTTGACCTCACAAGTCAAGGGGAGTATAGGGTTGTGTATGTTATCAGGGTCGCTGTGACCTCACAAGTCAAGGGGAATATAGGGTTGTGTATATTATCAGGGTCACCATGACCTCACAGGTCAAGAGGAATATTGAGTTGTGTATAGTGACAGGGTCGCTGTGACCTCACAGGCCAAGAGGAATAATGAATTGTGTATATTGACAGGGTCGCATTGACCTCACAAGTCAAGGGGAATAATATAGAGTTGTGTATGTTATCAGGGTCGCCGTGACCTCACATGTCAAGGGAACGTAGTGCAGTGTATGTTTTCTGCGTACTTGTGATTTTATGATTGTGTACAGACCCACTATGACTACATGATTGTGTGATAACAGGGTCACTGTAAAATACAGAAATTGTCAGTAAATCTCTCAGTTGTGAGACATGATGTCACCATGGTCACCATGGCCCAAGAAATCAAGGGGGATATATGACTGTGTGTGTTAACAGGGTACCTTGAGTACAATATTGTGTGTTAACAGGGTCACCGTGGTCACCATGGCCCTACAAATCAAGGGGGATATATCATTGTGTGTGTTAACAGGGTACCTTGAGTACAATATTGTGTGTTAACAGGGTCACCGTGGTCACCATGGCCCTACAAATCAAGGGGGATATATCATTGTGTGTGTTAACAGGGTACCTTGAGTACAATATTGTGTGTTAACAGGGTCACCGTGGTCACCATGGCCCTACAAATCAAGGGGGATATATCATTGTGTGTGTTAACAGGGTACCTTGAGTACAATATTGTGTGTTAACAGGGTCACCGTGGTCACCATGGCCCTACAAATCAAGTGGGATATAGGACTGTGTGTGTGTTAACAGGGTACCTTGAGTACAATATTGTGTGTTAACAGGGTCACCGTGGTCACCATGGCCCTACAAATCAAGGGGGATATATCATTGTGTGTGTTAACAGGGTACCTTGAGTACAATATTGTGTGTTAACAGGGTCACCGTGGTCACCATGGCCCTACAAATCAAGGGGGATATATCATTGTGTGTGTTAACAGGGTACCTTGAGTACAATATTGTGTGTTAACAGGGTCACCGTGGTCACCATGGCCCTACAAATCAAGTGGGATATAGGACTGTGTGTGTTAACAGGGTACCTTGAGTACAATATTGTGTGTTAACAGGGTCACCGTGGTCACCATGGCCCTACAAATCAAGGGGGATATAGGACTGTGTGTGTTAACAGGGTACCTTGAGTACAATATTGTGTGTTAACAGGGTCACCGTGGTCCAATGGGACTGATGGGAATGGATGGAGAGCCTGGCCCCAAGGGAGAGCCTGGCCCACGTGGAGTTGAGGGTACCAAGGGAGAGAAGGGCGACACGGTAGGTTTAGCATGCAAAAAAAGAGACATAGTTAAACACCTGCTTTGGCAGACAGTATAATCATATTGTTGATGTGAACAATAACATTTAGATAAATCAAACTTTTTTTAAGTGAGTTTAAGTCTTCAGTTGGGTCCAGTGTACTGGGTGAAAGGGATCTGCCATTGTTAGCAGTGCTGGTGTCAGTTATTGATGGTGAGTGAGTGAGTGAGTTGGGTTTAACGCCTTTAACAGTATTCCAGTTATATCACGGCGTGTCAGCTTAATGTGGGAGGAAAGCCCAAAGTGATGCAGGTCTCAGATGTTTACCACTTTGGTGAAACCCACGAGCATGGGTATGGTGCTGTCAAACCTAGAAACATAATCGGGGCAAACCGGGATTCGAACCCACAATCATAGGTTTCTGGCGTGCCCAAGGGACACAACTCTGCACAGCGAATCGCGGCGCCTTAGACGACTGGGCCACCCATGCCCCCTCAGTTATTGATGGATTGAAACAGGTTGTTAAACCCATGGTTCTTTAAAAAAAATATAAAGTCTATAAGTGATGCATGTTGTAGCATATTTAATGTATATTTAATTTATGAGAGCTGTATCAAATCTATGTTGTATGATTTCAGGGCCCTGAGGGAGGTGCTGGACCTCAAGGTATTGACGGAACTCCCGGTATGCCTGTAAGTATGTTATAGCTGTCCATACCATTATGTCAGTACCTGCCTGCCTGTACATAGGTTATAGAGTGGACGACATGGACGTTCAAAACTACGTCCAGGTTGGTACATGGACGTCCATAGTGTTCATGCCGTAAAAGGTGACTATGCTTGTCGTAAAAGGCGACTAATGGGATCGGGTGGTCAGGCTCGCTGACTTGGTTGATACATGTCATCGATCCCAATTGCGTGATATTAATCACTGGATTGTCTGGTCCAGACTCGATTATTTACAGACCGCCGTCATATAGCTGGAATATTGCTGAGTGCGGCGTTAAACAACAAACCAACCAACCAACCATCATAATATGACCTTCCAGAGTGTTGATAAGAACAGGGCTAGAACAGACCTTAAAATGGTTTCACAGATCCATATAGGATGTACATAGTCAGATAGGTTGAGTCAGTCAGCTGGTGAACTTTCCCTAGAAACCTAGATACTCAGTGTGATCAGCAGTTTTGGTCCCAAGGAACTGGAACCGGCTGAGGACTCCTCGAACATGACACAGCTGCTGCATCAAGTCCACAGGGAAGGTCCACCCTTAACAATGTCAGCAGTAGTTTTGAATATGAATGTCTATTTATTGAACATGACAGGTGTGTATACTATTGATTCATTTTCCTCCAATACAGGGTCCCACCGGCCCCCCTGGACCCAAAGGAGAGGCTGTGAGTATTGGCTGTCTTTACATCACCCACTCGTGATTCGTCAATACCAATCAGTTCTTAGGCCCAGGACCAATCAGTTCTTAAGGCCAGGACCAATCAGTTCTTAAGGACAATACCACTGTTCTTAAGACCAAATACCACTGTGTTCTTAAGGCCAAATACCAATGTGTTCTTAAGACCAATATCAATGTGTTCTTAAGACCAATTCAAATCCGTTCTAAAGACCTGTGCCAATGTATTCTTAAGGCCATAATAATATGTCCTTAAGGCCAGTGCAAATGTGTTCTTAAGGCCATTACCAATGTGTTCCCTAAGGCCAATCCCAATGTGTTCTTAAGGCCAATACCAATGTGTTCTAAAGACCTGTGCCAATGTATTCTTAAGGCCATACTAATATGTCCTTAAGGCCAGTACCAATATGTCCTTAAGGCCAGTGCCAATGTGTTCTTAAGGCCATTACCAATGTGTTCCATAAGGCCAATACCAATGTGTCCTTAAGGCCAATAAAATGTGTTCTTAAGGCCAATCTCAATGTGTTAAGGCCAATCCCAATGTGTTCTTAAGGCCAGTATCAATGTGTTCTAAAGGCCAATACAAATCTGTTCTTAAATTAGTTGGTTTACAAAATAATTGGCCTGAACTATAATGTAGGTGATCCGAAAAGAGATAAGTACTGCTTGTAATGAATGACAAACTCACAGGTCATGTCATCATGGTAGTACGATTGCAAAACAATATCGAAAGATAAGTAATTTTGTTGTTGTTAGAATGAAGATTTCTGCACACATTATTCACCGTTTCTTAGAAATGGGTTGTTATAAAATGTTTTTGTCTTTTTAGGGTATGACAGGACCCAAGGGAGATATCGGAGGACTGGTGAGTGGAAATGATGATTTATAGCACAGCTTGTTCAGTCAGTATTCCATGTCTATACAGTGAAAACCTGTTATAGCACAGCTTGTTCAGTCAGTATTCCATGTCTATACAGTGAAAACCTGTTATAGCACAGCTTGTTCAGTCAGTAGTCCATGTCTATACAGTGAATACCTGTTATAGCACAGCTTGTTCAGTCAGTATTCCATGTCTGTACAGTGAAAACCTGTTTATCTGGATCCTGTTTATTCTCATCTCCTGGACATTTACTCTATTGAAAATCAGTCTATGATTGTTTAGGGACTATGTATCCATTATTTGTTATTCCAGAAACTTGTATACTGGACGATTTTGTTACACGGGCTTTGTATCACAGCTCGATTGGCTGCCTGAGGTCACGTGCTCAAAATTGACCAATCACGAAACTTGTAGCAGATTTCGGCAAGAAAGCGTCATTAGAAACAAATTTTAATCCAATGAAATCGCTTGTTATAACTACGGGGAAAAAACAGGCGATGTTACGAAAGCGCGATTACGAAATGAATGACCGCCGTGTTGTGACAGCAACTACATGTGTGTGACAGTTTAGCCTTAAATTGGATTGCCCACTAATTAAGAATATAAACTTCACTTGTGGTTCTCTTTTATTGCATGCATGCGCTTCTAAGATCAAAGGATGTATAGTGTGAAAAGTTAACTAGTAGAACAATCGTATTTCCGGGACCTGCCGCGGATGTTTTCAAACGGATTATTAGAACTCCATTCAGCGATAAACCGTTGATTATGCAATGAGAAGCGTTATGTGCAAATAAACAACGAACAACAATACAATCATGTCTGTGTAAAACTCTCAGTATTAAAAGTGTACATAAATTTATTGGAAGAGCGCAATAGCGAGCGATCACTGTATTTGCCTTTGAGATAATACACAGTTATCTCCCTATATGATAACAGACAATTATATGTCCATTAGAAAATGACCAAGTATCTGATTATGCAATGTCTTGTCCAAGTGACACAGGAAGAAAGGGCCTGACCCCTATTCACTGACTCTCTCACTGTTGTAGGGCGCCCCAGGACCCCCTGGTCCCCCCGGTGATGCTGGTTCCCTGCCCCTGGCTGACATGGTACCCCCACAATCCTCAAAACGCAGGAGGAGAAGGAGGAGGAGGAGGCGACGATCTGTGGACGACATGGACATCCAGAATGACGTCCAGGTGGGTACATGGACGTCCGTGTTGATGTCCAAAGAGGTTATGATTTGACCTTCCACAGTGTTGATAATGACAATGACCTTCCACAATGTTGATAATGATAATGACCTTCTAGTGTTGATAATGACAGTGACCTACCACAGTGTTGATAATGATAATGACCTTCTAGTGTTGATAATGACAATGACCTTCCACAATGTTGATAATGACAATGACCTACCACAGTGTTGATAATGACAATGACCTTCCACAATGTTGATAATGACAATGACCTTCCACAATGTTGATAATGACAATGACCTACCACAGTGTTGATAATGACAATGACCTTCCACAGTGTTGATAATGACAATGATCTTCCACAATGTTGATAATGACAATGACCTTCCATGGTGTTGAGATTGACATTGACCTTCCAGTGTTGATAATGACAATGACCTTCCACAGTGTTGATAATGACAATGACCTTCCAGTGTTGAGATTGACAATGACCTTCCACAGTGTTGATAATGACAATGACCTTCCACAGTGTTGATAATGACAATGACCTTCCAGTGTTGAGATTGACAATGACCTTCCACAGTGTTGATAATGACAATGACCTTCCACAGTGTTGAGATTGACAATGACCTTCCAGTGTTGAGATTGACAATGACCTTCCACAGTGTTGATAATGACAATGACCTTCCACAATGTTGATAATGACAATGACCTTCCACAGTGTTGATAATGACAATGACCTTCCACAGTGTTGATAATGACAATGACCTTCCAGTGTTGAGATTGACAATGACCTTCCACAGTGTTGATAATGACAATGACCTTCCACAGTGTTGAGAATGACAATGACCTTCCACAATGTTGATAATGACAGTAACCTTCCACAGTGTTGAGAACGACAATGACCTTCCACAGTGTTGATAACAGTAACCTTCCACAGTGTTGAGAATGACAATGACCTTCCACAGTGTTGAGAACGACAATGACCTTCCACAGTGTTGAGAATGACAATGACCTTCCACAGTGTTGATAACAGTAACCTTCCACAGTGTTGAGAACGACAATGACCTTCCACAGTGTTGAGAATGACAATGACCTTCCACAGTGTTGATAACAGTAACCTTCCACAGTGTTGAGAATGACAATTACCTTCCACAGTGTTTATAACAGTACCTTCCACAGTGTTGAGAATGACAATGACCTTCCACAGTGTTGAGAATGACAATGACCTTCCACAATGTTGATAATGACAATGACCTTACAGAGTGTTGAGAATGACAATGACCTTCCACAGTGTTGATAATGACAATGACCTTCCACAGTGTTGATAATGACAATAACCTTCCACAGTGTTGAGAATGACCTTCCAGTGTTGATAATGACAATGACCTTCCACAATGTTCATAATGACAAAATAGATGACAAAGATGGTGGCGCTGACATCATTAACTCACAGAGTGTTGAAAATGACTGCTCTTCAAGAGCGTATGGTTTTGTAAATGGATGAAAATTACTAGATATACATCAATAATAAACTTCAATTTCAATCCCTGTGAGAAGGTTAGGAACAAATTATGTGAAGTGTGTAGAGTGAGAGTATATCTGGGGAGTCCAAACACTCAGTGGCACAGGTGGCCCAGTTGTGCCTGTGAGCATGGCTCAAATCCCAGTTCACTCTAATTATTTCTAGGTTTGGGGGTGGTGGGGTAGCCTAGCCTAGAAGACCCAGGTTCGATTCCCCACATGGGTACAATGTGTGAAGCCCGTTTCTGGTGTCCCCCGCCATGATATTATTGGAATATTGCTGAAAGAGGCGTAAAACCATACTCACTCACTCACTCACTCAAGGTTTACCAGCACCATACCAGTGCTGATAGGTTTCAAGGTAGTAAACATGTAAGACCTACATCACTTGTGGCCTTCATCCCACATCAACCTGAAGTGCCATGATATAACACTGTTCAAGGGAGTGTTAAACCCAACTCACTCACTCACTCATCCCACATCAACCTAAAGTGCCATGATATAACACTGTTCAAGGGAGTGTTAAACCAAACTCACTCACTCACTCATCCCACATCAACCTGAAGTGCCATGATATAACACTGTTCAAGGGAGTGTTAAACCAAACTCACTCACTCACTTGAAAAGGTCAGCAATGAGAGCAACCTTGTCTATTCCAGTCAGCATTCAACCGCCTCCAGAAGAAGCATTCGACCATCAGGGCGCCAACCGACGAGATCGAAATGAAGCATGTGATGAAGGAACTTGTGTCGATCGTCTTCAAGCATATCGACGGTCTTCAGGAGGAGGTACACAACATCAAGTACCCACGGGGAACACGCGAAAACCCAGCCACTTCCTGCCGGGAGATTATGCTCGGGCATCCTAACTTCAAGAATGGTAGGCAAAATTTACAACCAGGTCATTAAGAATTTCGTAAAGAATCTTTTACTGGCTATGTTGATAAATATTGTCCAGTCAGGATGTCATGTGCTGCATTGTCCAGTAAGATGAGAGGAGGGTGAGTAATGATGCTGGTGTATGGTGTCTGGTCGTACTAAGAGATCTTGAACCAAATTTAGTCCAAGTGGGTCCCTGTATGTGTGGTGTAAGTTCCACAGCCCGGGGCACAAGTTAAGATCTTTTAGTATAGTCTTGAAGGTAATTTAAGGTACCGACGTTTACTACAATATCTGAAAAACTATCAGACCTACTCCAGTCAAAGTTGGTATGAGATTATTAAACAGTCATACATAACTGGATATTACATTAAAGACAATCGGTGCATGAAGAAAAAATCTGTCTTTTTAGCTATCACTATATTTCATCAACAACCAGACCTGTTCGTCACGGGTGGAACAAGCATTCATTTGAATCAGCCATCTGCATAATGCTACCCCTGCGTCACAGGGCCATATGACACAGTTGAACCAATCAACTCAACTCGAAAAGGTGCACGGGAATCACGCACGTTGAGACACCCAACGCTAACACCGTATTCATGCGTGCGTGATTCCCGTGCACCCGTGACTGTTTAATAATCTCATACCAACTTTGACTGGAATAGGTCCGATAGTTTTTCAGATATTGTAGTAAATGTCGGTACCTTAAATTACCTTCCAGACTATAGAGAGGAATGTGCAAGTAACTCTCCATTCATTAAAAATAATGGAGCTGAGGCCCTGCAGGGACTGAGGACTATTTTGTTTAAGGAATGGAGAGTTACAAGGATATTCCCCTACTTTAAACACATCTCTACACTTACACTTTGACAAAACATTCTAAAAAGCCATACAACATGCATTGTGAAGATCAGCTTGCGACAGCATCTGCAACAGCGGCAGAGAACACAATCAACTCTCCATTCCTGAAAAATAATGGTGCGCTCAAACACTAGAATAATGTCACAGACGTGTGTTTTTATTAGGATTCATGTTGAGTCGTGTTGTTATTCAGGTTGGTACTGGATTGATCCCAACCTGGGATCTGTGGATGATGCCCTTCAAGTTTGGTGCAACCTGACAGACAAAGGACAGACCTGCATTCACCCAACATCTCGCACCAAGATGGTAGGTCCCCCTTTAGTCTCCCCACACACAGTTGATATTCTGTGTGCCAACAGAGGATATTGAAATTTGTGTAATGGACTATTGATACATTGTAAACCAACAGGAATTTTGATACTTCGTGTACAAACAGAGGACTTTTGATACATTGTGTACAAATAGGAGTTTTGATACTTTGTGTACAAATTGGAGTTTTGATACTTTGTGTACAAACTGGAGTTTTGATACTTTGTGTACAAATTGGAGTTTTGATACTTTCTGTACAAACAGGAGTTTTGTTACTTTGTGTACAAACAGAGGACTATTGATACTTTGTGTACAAACAGAGGACTTTTGATACTTTGTGTACAAACAGGAGTTTTGATACTTTGTGTACAAACAGAGGACTTTTGATACTTTGCATAACAATTGAGGTCTATCAATACTTTGTGTAACAACAGAACTACTGCTACATTGCGTAACCTAATTAACTTGATGCCATTGGTTTTGCAAAACACTGTATTTGGTTAAAACTTGTTCCAAACTTAAAGTGACATTACTTATTATTAGACATTGCTGCTGTCATATGCCATCCCATAGCAACTAGTTCACATGACACAGCAGTTTAGTTGACAGTGGTGTCTACTTAATGGGATGCTGACATTTTATATGATGAATAATGTACTGAATGTTTTGTGACATTGTCTGCGGTACTGATGACACTGTTTGTGTTCCACAGAGCACCGAGCAGTACTGGGAGAGAGACCCTGCCAGTCCCCACAAGTGGTACCATGAGATGGATGGGGCACACAAGGTAAAACCTGCAGACAAGACAGTTTCAGTTGTAGAGTAACTCTGAACCCTCATGAGCTCATACTGCTTCTATGGTCTAGTGGAAAGATTGCCTGGAGAGTGGAACGTCGCCTCCATGGTCTGGGTAGAGCTTTGGCACGGAGAGTGGAAGCTCGGTGGATGACCCCAGCCACATTATACTAGATGTCAAAAGATCATACCTATTTACCTTGGCTAGTGCGGCATTAGCAGATAAAATGGGGACTTGGTGTCAGTATACTGTGCCTGAGTGGGATATCCATGTTTAAACTCAGGCATGGCATTTCGGTTTGCTAGCACTACAGAACCAGATTGACCCATGAAGATCTGGGTTAGGTCTTCAACAACCAATGCATGTCGTTAGAGGTGTCTAATGAGATCAGGTCAGGCTCGCTGACTTTTTTCATGCATGTCATCGTATCCCAATTTCTTGGATCGATGCTCATGATATCAATCCCTGGATTGTCTGGCCCATTATTTATGGATCGCTGTCATATAGCTGGAATATTGCAGAGAGAGGAAACAACAAGGAACTGGGATTTTTCCGAACTAGTACACGCAGCTGCATACACACACGCTCATGCATGCACGTGGCTATACGAGTGTAATAATTTTGAACAGGATGTTAAGCCCCATATCACCCCACCTTGAGCTTCAACTTCATAATCTGGATACAGCATGATGATAAAACATGGTTCATACGAAACTTAATCAACAAAGAGTGTGGACTGATTTAACTCTTTTTTTTCAAGTTTTCTTAACCACAAATCATGTCTCTCGGTAGGGCAAGAACATGCTGACCCTTAACACAAACACTTGGTGTCATCATTGATTTCCAGTGATCCATTTATATAATTTTCACCCCTACTTTGCCTTTTATTCCCGATTTCCAACATTATAAGAATTGATTTTTCTTGCATGCTGTCTTTTGACATATTGAAAATAAGAAAACCTGTGAAGTAGGAAATGAAATATTTTGTATTAACCTCCCGTGATGACTTGGTACAGATCCGCTACGGCAACCCCGGCTCCCGCATCCAGATGTCGCTGTTGAGGCTGCTGAGTGAGGAGGCCAGCCAACAGTTCACCTACTACTGCTCCGGCTCCGTGGGCTGGTATGATCAGGCCAACCAAGGCTTCGAGAACGCCCTCACGCTTCTAGGGGAGAATGACTTTGAATTTGATTATCATGAGAAGAAGTGGATAGAGGTTCTACACGATGGTTGCAGTGTAAGTATGCCTTGTTGGTTAAAACAAATATTTGGATGCAAACCTTTTTTCACGTAATTTATACTGAGCAATTTCTGTGATCCTTTTTTGATTAAGCCAGGCTTTTTTTAACTTGGTTGCAAAAAAAATTCACCTGCCCCAACAAAGAAGAATTTGATCATTTTTTGTAATCTTTACATGGAGAAATTTGGTGTAATGTCAGGTTTCCATTCCTCATTAGAGATTTAACAGTGTGAAAAGTTTGAACAAGTTGAATGAATATTTGTTTATGTTGCATCAGCAATTGTACAGCTGACTGTGGTGAAGGAACAAATTAAGAAACGACTGTTTTATGACCCAAATACACCTTAAGCATGGCTCTTGTCTGTGGTGACAAGTGGTTGCTGTGTCCACAGAAGACTAGTCCATATCATAATACCCATTACTATTTTAAATATTGATACCAGGAGTGTGGGGATAATTTAATACAGTGTTTTGCTCAAATAATCAACATGGTCAACAGACCTACATAATATATTAATATTATTATTTTATATTATCAGTAAAGTTATATGATCACTGAATATACACAATCATATCATCACAGTTTCTTTTTCTGTTGAGTATATTCATACCTGTAGCTTTGCAGGTTGAAGGAGTTGATTCAATGAACATGGCTAAAAGTGACTGAGTATGGTTTTACGCCGCTTTTAGCAATATTCCAGCAATAACCACGAACACCACGAATGGGCTTCACACATTGTACCCATGTCTGGAATTGAACCTGGGTCTTCGGCGTGACGAGCTAATGCTTTAACCACGAGGCTACCCGACCGCCCCGCATGGCTAAGAACATAGCTGGAAGGGCTCCCGAACTTGGATGGACATGTTTCAGTTTTTAACCAGTGTTATGTGTGAAGGGTATTGTTTGAAGGTGAAAATGTAGCTTAAAACATAACACTCGCTTAGTTTTAGACATGTTATAACATTGCAGGACATCAACCTTGTGGTAAAGCTCGGTACTTCCGTGCCCCTTTAGCCTAGTGGGTAAAGTGTTCATCCTTCACACTGAAGGCCTAGGTTTCATTCCCCATGTAGGCACTGTCTGTGAAGTCCTATCCAGATGCCTCCCTGCTGTGATATGTGATAGTATTGGGACATCTGTAATAGTGAGTGACACCAGAAATGGACTTTACACATTGTTCCCATGTCGGGAATCGAACCCGGGTCTTCAGTGAGTGCTTTAACCCATCCGCCCCGCTCACTGTACTAAACTATGGCTCTATGTTGCAGGACCGAAGACAGAACGGCTTCACAGTAATCTCTGTCCGTACACGCAAGGTGAACCGTCTGCCCATTGTCAGTTTCATGCCGCAGGACTACGGAAACCCATGGCAAAAGTTCGGCTTTGAGGCAGGGCCCGTCTGCTTCCACTGACACTAATGCACAAGGCTATGCACAGTGCTAAAAACAATTTCTTGCCAAGAGAAATTTGTGATAAATATTTTGTCAATCATTTTCTACTCCGTCCAAGTAATAGGGCTTTCTGCAAGTACAAAACATTGATTTCGTTACACATATTGTAGTATTATCATTGAAATATAGTGCTTTAAGACTCTGGGAGTTCCTTCACATACCACATTACAAACTACCAAGCATGCTGTCAGCTTCATTCTTATCATTTGGAATAAATTCATCACAAATACCAAAGAATATTCCTAAACAACCCAAGGTAGTCGAAGTCCTCATTGTAGTTGGATAGTTCTGTCCATAATTCAAACAGAATCTTTATACCTTTCACAACAACGGGACCATAACAGATCAGTCGTATACATATGATATTTATCCAAAACCTTGACTTTCGAAATTTTTGAAATCAAGGGGAAAAATATTTCGAATAGGACTGGTTTTAGAACATTGTAGACAACCTGCTGCCAAACTGACCAGTGAGAATACCCCGAGTTGTGTGAAGCCTAGGACAGTGTGATCTACAGTGTCGAGAATGTTGCTAGTTTATGTCAGGAGATACAGTGGCGACACTGTCATTCTCATGGGATCAGCATATCACTGCCAAAAATGTAGAATTAATTCTTGAAATAAACATAATTTTGGGACATTGTTTCTCTGTTTGTTCATTATTACTATTTGTAGTTTAATTTAGTCAAAGAGTTTCAGTTAACATGGCAACCACCTCTTTACTCTTGATGAGCAGACTTGACATTTTCCTGATGATTCTGACATTGTGTGAGTGAGTGTGTTTGGTTTGTTTATTGTTTAACGCCGCACTCAGCAATATTCCAGCTATATGAAGGAGGTCTGTAAATAATCGAGTCTGGACCAGACAATCCAGCGATTGACATCATGAACATCGATCCTAGCAATTAGGATAGATGACATGCATCAACCAAGTCAGTGAGCCTGACCAACCGATCTAGTTAGTCGCCTCTTATGACAAGCATAGTCGCTTTTTACAGCAAGCATGGGTTGCTGAAGAACTATTCTATCCCGGATCTTCACAGGTTGAGTGTGTTTGGTATTCGGATATATACTCACTGCCAAAAGAAACGTGAAACATATAAGAGAGGTGAAATGGGGTTTAACGTCGCGTCCAAGATTATTGCACTTATATCCGACCAGTCCTTGTTTTAGCCCCTTAATGCCGAGCGCCAGACGGTAACAACAAGTACCATCTTTTAACGTCTTTTGGTATGACGCGGCTGGGGATCGAACCCCGGACCTTCCGCTCTCCGGGCGGACGCTCTACCATTAGACCATGGAGGCTGTCAACATATAAGAGAAATGTGTACATTAAGAACAGATGTTTCCAATGTGTACCAATTAATGACAAAACTAACAATCAGATGTGGCAGGAAAACCCAAATCACTGTCCGTTCTAGAAATTGAAAGCAATTAATGAAACCAACAAGCATGGGATGGAACATACAAACCAAGAATCATATCAGGGAAGATCTGGGATTCGAACCCAAGATAATCTGATACTGATACTGTTTGTTTGTTGTTAAACGCCACACTCAGCCATATTCAAGCTATATGACAGCGGTCTGTAAATAATAAAATCTGGACCAGACAGTCCAGTGATTGACATCATCAGCATCAATCTATGCAATTGGGATCTATGACATGCATCAACCAAGTCATAGATCCTGACAACCCGATCCCCATAGTTGCCTCTTATGACAAGCACGGGTTTTTGAAGACCCAGATTCTTCACAGGATGCATAGCGACATTTCAGGGCGTAAGACAACCCTTCCTCTTTCTCTCCCATCCTCCCCCTATCTACAAGTATTCTAATAATTTTGTGCATGTTGTTCAACGTCACATTTAGCAATATTCCAGCTTTATAATCAAGGCTGTACTGACAATCCAGTGATTGATGTTATGAGCACTGAATCATGCCACCAGGGTACAATGATATACTATCAACCAAGTTTTGTTACAACCATAGTTTCCTGGTGACCTATAACAGAATCCCCATGGTGAATGTTCAACAATGATTGTTCAAGTTGTCAGGCAGGAACCTTATGTTCCCAGCCATGTATGTTAGGAAGCAGTGGTGAGTGAGTGAGTGAGTTTGGTTTTACAGAGTTTTGTACAGTATTTCCGTTACATCACCGCATGTCAGCTTGACGTGGGAGGAAGCATGGAGGTCATAGCCGTGAAGGTCATCGCTTTGGTAAAATACACAAGCCCAGGCATGGTGCAAACAAACCTAGAAACATAACAAGGGTGAATCTGGGATTCAAACCCATGATCGTTTGTTTCTAGCACATCTAAGGGATGCACCTCTGCGCATCAAATTGCCGCAGGAAGACCTGTAAAAACTATTCCTCTCGGATGAACTGAACGAACAAGGGTGTAACAGATTCAAATAAACTGAGATATAATGACAGACAGTGAGTTATGAAATATAGAAACATGTTTAATTGCATAACAGTTGAGGGTGTTTGACAGAAACAGCAAGCTGAGGGCTACCGTGCCTGATCACATCCTTGCATTCTTTATTGCCTTGTTACAGTTTATTCCATGTGCAACTTGTTCCTGTATCACCGACAGGAACTCATGTTGAAGGTTCTGCTGATCTCAGCATAAAAACTGTCTATGACTGCATGTTCAAGCAAAGCAGTGTTCAGCAGTGTGTCATGGTTTGCAACCATATCTTCAACACATTCATCTACTTCTATATTACTCCCCTTGCAAGGGTTACTTTAATGATACAACTCAGAAAATACGAAGCTTAACATGTTAACTGTGGAATAACAATTTCCCCCCAAACTATGACTATGTTAGACTCGCTACACGTACATACTTTCAAGCTTGATATTGGCTAAACAATATTTTCGGCCAGACAGTCGTAATCTTGGGATTAAACAAATAACACTCCCCTGATAATCCTTGTATGATTTCATCATGTTTAACAACTGGGCTATTCTTAAATTTCTTCCACAGTGCGACATACTGTCAACATCGCTTAATTCAGTAGGTATATTTGAACATGCTATGTTTGATGGGATATCATCAAGCGATGCCACATCACTAATTATTTGGGTATGTCTTTAGTCTGCCTTAACAATCTGCAATGATTCCATCAGCATTGAAAAATTATTCTGCTTGATCACAAAGAAGCTTCTTCCGAAACTTTCGCCTGTATCATACAGAACAAGTAGCCTTCAGTGATATGCAAGCCAAGGACCGTGGATGACAGTTCAACAGGATTCCACTCAGCGTGTTCCAATGCACAGGATATTTGTGTTACTTGAAAGACGGTCTCTCCAACACAGACCAATGAATGTCAAGGACACATGTTCCCATAATGCAACTCCAAGCTCAGACTTCATATTCACAGAGGAAGCTGTCTTCTAGAGACGGCAGCACTGTTAGATGAACAGACACCCTGAAAACATACATCATGTACAAGGTGTTAAGGAAAAAGCAATAAAAGCATTGTATCCTTCAGATATCCATCTTGTCTAATTAGGTTTATTAAAGGAAGAATTTACTCCTTAAAGCCCAACAGCCCCTAAAACTGTCATCTCTAATTATATACTTTTTCATATACTGTTACACACAACTTTTCAACTAAAATGTTTTTGCACCGGACTCTGATTGTTTCCATATGCAATACCAGTCTGTGTCAGATTTGCAGAGGAACCTATCTGTGGTTTATATCAGTACTGACTTCATTATATACTTAGGGATAAAAAGGTTAGGGATCAGGATTAGGGATAAGCTCAGTCTTCACTACAAATATATCCCCCAATATATTCATGATCTGTAATGTTTTTTGTTCAGTATATAACAGGGCTGACATCTAACAAATGAACCCTTGGCAGCACACATTTCTAACTGATGGAAACAAGCACCCTGCACCAATATTTCATCCAAAGAATCCCCTCTATGTTGAGCAACCTGTGAGCTTTACCATAGGCGCAGAATGCACTTAGCATCACTCACTGCTGCTCTAAAAACATATTTTGGACTGAATAAATTATCGAGAATGAATGTTGCCTAATATCTTACTTCTAGAGTATGATGGTCCAATCTCATTAAAATCAGATCTTATTTCTCGCTACCGCTAAGCAAAGATCTGAGGACATCCCATTACGGGTCACGTCAGAACGACCTTGCGCAAACTTTGACCGACCAATGAAATGACCAATCAGAAGGCAGCTTTCTCGTGCCTTACGGCACTAATTTCAAATTGGCGACTACGCTTTGAAACATATTTTGACAAATTCTCGATTACAAATTTGAAACCTGAACAAAAGAACATTCTGGAATGGCTAATAGATTGTCTAGATTGTGTCATTAAACCCGTAACTATCTTTCGGAATACCCCATGTTAAAGTTTTCGAGGTTGGATGATTAGAAATCACATTCTGACTGTCACTTTCATAATCTGGTAAGCGACGCTCTGATTGGTCAGATGAAAGGTCGTTCTGACGTGACCCCTAATGGGATGTCCTCAGATCTTTGTTTAGCGGCAGCGAGAACTGAGGTCTGATTTTAATGAGATTGATGCTGGACAGGCTATTAGTTTCCCAACCCTCTCTCAATTGATCTACTTGATGGTACTTTAACAGAGAAGACTACTACTGGACAGCAATGATCAGCTAAACTCACTCCTTGAATTCTTTGACAACCTCATCCACCTTCGATGGGTTGACGCAGACTGCGCAGCGGAACTTCTCCGGGTCAAACAGGCTGGCGATGTACTGTGACCCCACTCGCTTCAGGTCAGCAACTGTTACCTTGGCAACCTTCTCCAACATAGATCTGAAGAATGTCAGTTGAACAGTTGGATTCAAGATTATCAATACATCTGAGATCTGCATACATTACGTGCCAAGATATTGCTAAATCAGCAAATATGAAACATGTTTGTGTCATTATTCTCACTTTGTGTATCACATATCACAAACAACTTTCATTTGTTATATTTTCAATCATTCATAAATTTCATTTATAAGGAACACTGCTAAATATTGTACGCTGCACTGACTTCACTGTATGACTTCGCTGAGGATGTGAATGTATAATGTAGTAAGCATGTGAATGTATAATGTAGTAAGCATGTGAATGTATGATGTAGTATGTGAATGTATGATGTAGTAAGCATGTGAATGTATGATGAAGTATGTGTATGTATGTTATATGTGAATGTATAATGTAGTAAGCATGTGAATGTATAATGTAGTAAGCATGTAAATGTATAATGTAGTAAGCATGTGAATGTATGATGTAGTAAACATGTGAATGTATAATGTAGTAAGCATGTGAATGTATAATGTAGTAAGATTGTGAATGTATAATGTACTGAGGATGTAAATGTATGATGTAGTAAGCATGTGAATGTATCATGTAGTAAGCATGTAAATGTATAATGTAGTATGTGAATGTATAATGTAGTATGCATGTGAATGTAAAATGTAGTAAGCATGTGAATGTATGATGTAGTATGTGAATGTATGATGTAGTAAGCATGTGAATGTATGATGAAGTATGTGTATGTATAATGTTATATGTGAATGTATAATGTAGTAAGCATGTGAACGTATTATGTAGTAAGCATGTAAATGTATAATGTAGTAAGCATGTAAATGTATCATGTAGTAAGCATGTGAATGTATAATGTAGTAAGCATGTGAATGTATAACATGCTGAGGATGCGAATGCATTATGTGCTGAGCATGTGTGTCATCTCACTTGTTGTAGTTGTGGTCGACCTGTCTGAAGTAGGACAGCATGGACTCCATACACACATCCGACACCGTCTTCTCCTGCTCGATGATCTCGAAGATGAGGCTGCTCCGAGCCGACTCCAGGTCCACTTCAGACAGCTCATTGCTGCCGTTGATGTAACCCATCTGCACAGGCATAGAGTCATGTCTACAGTGTACTCCAGCAACAACATGGAGGCATGTAGATGAACAAACTGGGCAACACAATCATTGGTGGATGGCATGAGCAATAAGCCTGGCCTTCAGGTGTGTTGACAACCATCAGGGGTGCTGACAACCATTAGGTGTGCTGACAGCCATCAGGTGTGCTGACAACCATCAGGTGTGCTGACAACCATCAGGTGTGCTGACAACCATCAGGTGTGCTTACAGCCATCAGGTGTGTTGACAACCATCAGGTGTGCTGACAACCATCAGGTGTGCTGACAACCATCAGGTGTGCTGGCAACCATCAGGTGTGCTGACAACCATCAGGTGTGCTGACAACCATCAGGTGTGCTGACAACCATCAGGTGTGTTGACAACCATCAGGGGTGTTGACAACCATCAGGTGTGCTGACAACCATCAGGTGTGTTGACAACCATCAGGTGTGCTGACAAGCATCAGGTGTGCTGGCAACCATCAGGTGTGCTGACAACCATCAGGTGGGCTGACAACCATCAGGTGTGCTGACAAGCATCTGGTGTGCTGACAACCATCAGGTGTGTTGAAAACCATCAGGTGTGCTGACAACCATTAGCATGACAGAGGCTTCCTGGAACATTTGATTCAGGAATGCCCCAAATGACGTCCGTGCTGCAGGCAAATAGGGAAAATGCATCACATTGTCTACACTTAGGGTAGTTTGAAACGTTATTTTCTTAAATTCATAGGCATTTTAGCATTGCCTTTTCCAATTTTTGTACTGTTATCGACAAATAAAAAACACCTTTGCAAAGCTAACACATTAGAAAAATCTTAATTGGGAACTTTGGAATTCTCATTTGGGAATTTGTTTTGACATAACACTGGTCAGCCTTTGTTGACCCCCACACTGTGTATACTGACCACGATGTCCCGGCCCTCCTTGTAGGCGTTGACGAGGTGAGTGGACTTGGACAACACAAAGTACAGCAGCCCTGTGTCCGGCTTCACATACATGCTGCAATGGAGGACAAACACAGGGACCAATCAGAACTATGGTGGGTGTCTAATCGCTGGCAGATTGTCTCCCTTGTGACAGACATGCAGAATCCCATCTTCCCCCAATTCAAGACTTAGGTCATCATATACGAAGACACTGATGCTATGATGCCATCTTGACAGGATATCATAAAAAAATGATGCATCATTAATATTTGGGCTCATCTGTTTCTTCTTTAGCATGCTTAACTTTCATACACTTTGGGATCCAGTACTAGTATGAGGCTTAAGATGGTTACAAGGTTACAATGATTACAATTGTGTAACACAGCCCCCAAAAAGTGTCTTCTCCTTTGAGTCTTATCTTTTGAAGTATGCAAAACAACTGAGGTTTACTGTACAAGTCCTACAAGGTATTTTAGTCCATATAAGAAAGCAATTGTTCATTACTGCCTACATGTCAGTCGTATGTATTTCTAACACAACCAAACCCAAATTTTCCACAAAAAAAACCCAACAGTATCCTCATCATAAACTCACATAAACCCTCAAACGTGAGGTGATGTAAAAGGTATGAGTACTGACCTGTAGTTGTAGGCGAGACCCAGGCCACGGATCTGCCTCCACATTGGTCCCTCCAGTTGTGTCATGTACTGTATAAACACCATGATGGCTGGCAGGTCTGCGTGGTGGAAGTCCGACACACACGGCACGACCTGGATGAAGTAGGCCGACTCCACGGACCCAACCCCCACCAGCAGGCGCTTCTTGCTGCTCTCCTCGTACGACTGGATGTACGCACTGGTCCTCTCAACACAGCTGTAACAGTTCAGCATCTTCTAAACATTCTATTACGTTATGTATGTATGTGAGGTGAGGTGAAATTGAGTTCAACATTGCGTTCAAGATTACTGCACTTATAAAGCGACGTACATGTGTGTGTGTGGCTGCTTGTACTAGTCTGGACTAATGCCAATTTTATAGCGCTAGCCCACTGAGATTCCATGCCACAGTTTAACATGAATATCCCATCACTCCGAGCTGACCATTCCTTGTTTTAACCCCTTGATGTTATGTTTGTTTGCTTGTTTGTTTGTTTATTGTTTAACATCAATATTCCAGTTATATGACGGCGGTCTGTAAATAATCGAGTCTGGACCAGACAATCCAGTGATTGATATCATGAGCATCGATCCATGCAATTGGGATGATTTAGTCACGACTAGCAATGGGTGTTGGTGTACTCGTGCCATTAAACATACATCAGACAATGATAATCAGTCTCTTGACATAAGCCCTAATGTACAAATTAGTGAACAATATTGCTTCTATTTCTAAAATTGTTGTATCCATTTCCAAAAGGTTTTACCCATGGATATCTTCCCAATTATAGGACTGAGAAATAAATAACATTAATGTGCGACACCTTCAGCGACTGGGCCACCTGTCAACCAACACATATACATGCAATGTATTCTGGAAAGGATATTACCTGTTGCTGTCTCCACATTCCTTGCTGTCAACAAAATGTTTCCATGGCAACAGTGGTTTCTGTTTGGCCAACTTCTTGACATCAGCTGACATGTGGATACGGATGTTGCCGGGCATGGCCAGCATCTTACGTAGACTCTCGATATCCTCGATAACCTGCACAACATGGAGTAATCATTATCATCATTATAGTCTACAGTGTTACAGCCACATCGTGTCAGTGTAGAGACATGGTAACTAGTGCCGAAGAATGACAGCAAAATTACATCAAATGACAATCAGCTGATAAGAGGTTTTTTTTAAAGATCCACACTTTACAAACTTTTGTTCCATATTAATGTACAGATTTCTGCTGACCTTCACTAAGTGAAAAATAATAACCAAAATGCATGTGTTCATCCTGGCCTATCACCGCACACATAGCAACATAGACAATTATCTTGTTATTTTCTAATCTTCTGACTCTCCCATCCCCCGGTCTACCTTGTTGGGGTCAGTCACCCCCCTCCCCCCACCTACCTTGTTGGGGTCAGTCTCACCTCCCCCTGCCTACCTTGTTGGGGTCAGTCTCTCCCCTCCCCCTGTCTATACCTTGTTGGGGTCAGTCTCCCCCTTCCCCCCGCCTACCTTGTTGGGGTCAGTCTCCCCTCCCCCTGCCTACCTTGTTGGGGTCAGTCTGTCCCCTCCCCCTGCCTACCTTGCTGGGGTCAGTCTCTCCTCTCCCGTCCCCTTGCCTACCTTGCTGGGGTAAGTCTCCCCCCTCCCCCTGCCGAACTTGTTGGGGTCAGTCCCCCGCCTCCCCCTGCCTACCTTGTTGGTGTTAGTCTCCCCCCTCCCACTGCCGACCTTGTTGGGGTCAGTCTCTCCCCTAGCCCTGCCGACCTTGTTAGTGTCAGTCTCTCCCCTCCCCCTGCCTATCTTGTTGGTGTCAGTCTCCCCCCTCCACCACCTACCTTGTTGGGGTCAGTCTCTCCCCTCCACCACCTACCTTGTTGGGGTCAGTCTCTCCCCTCCCCCTGCCTACCTTGTTGGTGTTAGTCTCCCCCCTCCCACTGCCGACCTTGTTGGGGTCAGTCTTTCCCCTAGCCCTGCCGACCTTGTTAGTGTCAGTCTCTCCCCTCCCCCTGCCTATCTTGTTGGTGTCAGTCTCCCCCCTCCCCCTGCCGACCTTGTTGGTGTCAGTCTCTCCCATCCCCCTGCCTACCTTGTTGGTTTCAGTCTCTCCCCTCCCCCTGCCTACCTTGTTGGTGTTAGTCTCCCCCCTCCCCCTGCCAACCTTGTTGGTGTCAGTCTCCCCCCCCTCCCCCTGCCTACCTTAATGGTGTCAGTCTCTCGATCCCCTCCCCTGCCTACCTTGTTGGTGTTAGTCTCCCCCCTCCCCCTGCCAACCTTGTTGGGGTCAGTCCCCCCCCCCCCCCCTGCCTCTACCTTGTTGGGGTCAGTCTCTCCCCTCCCCCTGTCTACCTTGTCGGGGTCAGTCTCCCCTCCCCCTGCCTACCTTGTTTGGGTCAGTCTGTCCCCTAGCCCTGCCTACCTTGTTGGGGTCAGTCTCCCCTCCCCCTGTCTACCTTGTTGGGGTCAGTCTCCCCTCCCCCTGTCTACCTTGTTGGAGTCAGTCTCTCCCCTTCCCCTGCCTACCTTGTTGGGGTCAGTCCCCCCCCCCCCCCCCCTCCTCCTGCCTACCTTGTTGGGGTTAGTCTCTCCCCTCCACCACCTACCTTGTTGGGGTCAGTCTCCCCTCCCCCTGCCTACCTTGTTTGGGTCAGTCTCCCCCCTCCCCCTGTCTACCTTGTTGGGGTCAGTCTCTCCCCTCCCCCTGTCTATACCTTGTTGGGGTCAGTCTCCCCTCCCCCTGTCTACCTTGTTTGGGTCAGTCTCTCCCCTAGCCCTGCCTACCTTGTTTGGGTCAGTCTCCCTCCTCCCCCTGTCTACCTTGTTGGAGTCAGTCTCTCCCCTTCCCCTGCCTACCTTGTTGGGCTCAGTCCCCCCCCCCCCCCCCTCCTCCTGCCTACCTTGTTGGGGTCAGTCTCTCCCCTCCACCACCTACCTTGTTGGGGTCAGTCTCCCCCCTCCCCTTGTCTACCTTGTTGGGGTCAGTCTCTATCCTCCCCCTGTCTACCTTGTTGGGGTCAGTCTCTCCCCTCCCCCTGTCTACCTTGTTTGGGTCAGTCTCTCCCCTCCACGACCTACCTTGTTGGGGTCAGTCTCTCCCCTCCACCACCTACCTTGTTGGGGTCAGTCTCCAGGGTCTTGGACAGCTGTGTAAGGAAGTCCAGCTGGCGAAAGATGCTGGCCACCACACTGTTGCAGTCTGTACACACAAACACAGACTTCAGCTCAACAACAACGCACCACCACAGCCCCACAAGGCCACATGCTGTTGCTTGCTCACACAGTGTCTAAGTGACTTTGGCTCACGTTCAGAAAAATCATTAGTGTTCTCCACAACATAGCCATGCCTTTTGTTTACTCTCTTTATTTAATCAGAGTGTAGGCAGCAAGTGCATGTGACACTCCGGGCTAACGTCTGAGCGTCAGTTGACTAATTAGAAAACAACCAAGGAAGAATTACACATTATCTTTCCAGTACTAAAGGTGTAAGTCTTCGGCAATGGACAGCATTGATTCATGAGAGAGATAGGTGTACTGAGTTTCCAGTACTTTATTCTGTTTATGATGTATTGTCACTTTGTTTTAAGAAAGTGATTTTGAATAATCTTTCAATAATATTACTGTTTGTCAGTGTCATGTGGGAGTAACACATTTTAAAATGAAGGAAAACGTTTGAAACCCTTAAAAAAAACTACACTGGAGTCAACCCTTTGTTCAGATGATGTAACATTTCGATGGGTAATGTCATCAACAATGGATGATCATAACCTTCTCATATTTGCACACATATAGTTTAACAATTCTAGATGCTGATTGGCCGTGTGATTTTGTTTTTGTGTTGTTTAACGCCGCACTCAGCAATATTCCAGCTATACGACGGCGGTCTGTAAATAATCGAGTCTGGACCAGACAATCCAGTGATTGACATCCTGAACATCAATCATCACAAATGGGATATGATGACATGCATCAACCACGTCAGGGAGTCTGACCACCCGATCCCTGATTGGCCATATGAAGTGATATGACATCATGTTGCTGCCCTGCTGAGAACAGTATAATGCTTGATCTTCCTATCCTATTGGATAGGGTGGTGTGGTAGCCTAGTGGTTACAGCGCTACCCTGTCATGAGTGAGTGAGTGGGTATGGTTTTACGCCGTTTTTAGCAATATTCCAGCAATATCACGGCGGGGGACACCGGGAATGGGCTTCACACATTGTACCCATGTCGGGAATCGAACTCGGGTCTTTGGCGTGACGAGTGGAAGCCTTAACCACAAGGCTACCCGACCGCCCCATACCCTGTCATGCTGTCCCCACATGGTTATAGAGTGTAAAGCCCATTTCTGGTATCCCCCATCATGATATTGCTGGAATATTGGTAAAAGCGGCAAAAACCAGACTCACTGACTCTTTCGGGGCAATCTAGTTGGCACAAGACACATTGACATATTGTGGACACTACCAGGACATGCAATATACACGTACAGCATACACGCACAGGCACGAGATAATTTCATTTTTGGTTGTAATAATTATTAAAGAAAGACTTAACGCCCTTATATTTCACTACTAACCACCGCTAAAATATCATTTATAACTCACTCTTCTTGTAGAGAACTTCATTGATGAGAGTTCGAACTACTCGGAAGCCGCTGCGTTTGTAAGCTGCGATATCATTGGTCATCCTGTTGGCGATGATCTTCAGTCTGTCGGCTGTGAACTGAGTCTGATAGAGCAGCTCCTTCAGCCAGGAGATTCCCTGACTGTACTTGTCTTCCTCCACCTGACACAGACAACATACAACGTGTACATCATACATTCCTACTTATTTCATTGTTTGAATGGCTCCATGCAGTTGTCTATCCAAATACACTATGAAAGACCCTACAACAGTGATTCAACTCGTTCAGCCATTGAAAGACTGGACTGCCAAATTCCAGATATTTTCAAGCCTAAACGAACCTAGTTAAAATGGAGTAGGCAGGTTGAGGGCAGGTTGAGGACAGAGAGTGACTAAACACATTATGTAAAATTTCTGAGTTCTATGTACTGCTTCTTACTCCTGCCTTACCTTCAACTCAATACTTGACACCTGAGGGAATGAGCCACATGAGAACTTGCCACCTCGTACACCGAGCCCCACACTGGAAGACAACGTGTCTGCCTCTAGCTGGGCAATCACCTCCTCATGGGACACCAGCTCTGTAGACACAAACACATCAGTTAGAACTTGCCACCTCGTACACCGAGCCCCACACTGGAGGACAACGTGTCTGCCTCTAGCTGGGCAATCACCTCCTCATGGGACACCAGCTCTGTAGACACAAACACATCAGTTAGAACTTGCCACCTCGTACACCGAGCCCCACACTGAAGGACAAGTCTGCCTCTAGCTGGGCAATCATTTCTATGAGTGATACAGAAAATGACCTCAACACCCATGCTTGTGGTAAGAGGGGACAAAATTGATCAGATGGTCAGGTTGGTTGATTGGTTGGTTTGTTGTTTAACGCCGCACTCAGCAATATTCCAGCTATATGACGGCGGTCTGTAAATAATCGAATCTGGACCAGACAATCCAGTGATTAATATCATGAGCATCGTTCCAAGCAATTGGGATTGATGACATGCATCAACCAAGTCAGCGAGCCTGACCACCCAATCCTGTTAGTCACCTTTTACGACAAGCATAGTCACCTTTCACGGCAAGCATGGGTTGCTGAAGACCTATTCTACCCCGGAATCTTCACGGGTCTCAGATGGTCAGGCTTAGTGACTTGGTTAATTGTATGTTGTCATTCATGGCATTACATGCCTCTCTGGTTCGTATGCTCCTGAGTGTGACATAAAACAATCAACAGATGCATCTCGACAATGTGCTAATCTGACTTAACACTCACTTCCATCTCGCAGCACTGGACTCTCCAACAGGGCTTCACAGAACAAAGGGAGGTAATACTTGAGTTTCTGCGGTAGAGCGCTTGAATCCAGTAAAGCTACAATCTGGTAAAAAGACAATTCTTGTTTGGTTTAATAAATAAAAATAAAAATACTTATGCATATGTGCCTACATTATTATCCAACACATCATATTTGCAGACCATTATCGTAAACAGCCTGTACCCGCTCTCATCCACAGAGTTATTGCATAAGTCTTTCTTATCCATCTCCTCCATCTTTCTTATCTCAGCACAAGATTATATTCCCGCTCCAGAGAGTAATTTGATTTCAAGGCTATTGTTAATGTGATGCCATTTGAATTGTGCTCAAAAAGGGTATATGAAGAACGTGTTCAGGGTATTTATCAGATGGAGATATAACACACCTGGTAATGGAGGACGGCCTACCCAGGTAATTGTAATTTCATGATTTGAAAAAATGTACAAGTAATTGTTGAGTTAGGCTTCTGAACAGTATTTCAGTTATAGAGGAGTCCTTAATCTTATGTACAGAACTCATAGAGCCTGCATATAAAATAGTGCCAAGCGCTGTAGCTCACCTGGGTATGTTGTCAAGAAGACAGCGACTTAACATGCAGCATATATTCAAATATTTTCAGTGTTAGAAATTGGCACTTTTGACAATTAGTCCTTGCCAAACTGCCAAATAGTAAAGGTATCATAAGGACTAGTAGACGTTTGCCATTAAGGTTTTTGCTGTATGTTATCATTATAAGGAAGAGTGGACTAAAAATGTTAATTTCTACCGCTGATTTTATGCATAAATAGTGAGGAATAAAATATAATTTCAGAGAGAAGTTTACAGAGCCAAATAAGTAATCAGAGAGCATGGTCAAAACACAGGGGTCAACAAGGTAAAAAAGCGTCCATGTTGAACAAACTGGGGTGTCATTATCGATGGGAACAAACATGTTTGGTTCCGGCTTCAATGGTCTATGCAGGACACCACATGCAGGATGACACAAACCACATCCTGGACAAACAGACCACATATGCTCACCTGACTTTTAATCAGGATAGCTAAAGATGAGTGGGCATAATGTTCCTTCTATTGAGAGGCCATAAAATGAGTTGACAGGGACAAAAAAATATTGATATGACATAAAGGATTACCTGGACAAAATTTGTGTGAATGTGATCCAGCTGGAATTTGTATGGAATTTCAGCCAATGGGAACTCAGGAATCTTGTTTGCTGCCTCCTTACTGAGGTTTGCTGCTGGAATTATGGGATGGAACTGTATACTGCCGACATCAGGAACTGTTACACTCGTCAACAGATCCTCAGGGGCTTCAATCTGGCATGAAGAGACACACATAAACATTCAGCTTCACAGACAAATTTCTCGTGAGTATCACATCTTCCCTGACCTTACTGTGGTACAAAGTTCTTCAACACAGATGCTGAATCTACAACAAATCTGAGCATCATACAGAGACACATTCCACTGTTATCCCTTCTCGTTATTACCTCATTTTCCTTGGTGGCCTTCTCCAGTAACTTCCCCAAATTAGACAAGCCATCTTCCCCCAGCTTCTTCCTCTGTGCAGCCACCCTCTCCTTCTCTGTCTTCCCCATGTCTTCCATTAGCGACTTGCTGGGCGTGCCGACAACCTGACGGAATCAAATCTCTATAACACCTGACAACACAATTATCAACTACTGACCACTGACAAGGGCAATACCATGTTTTATGGAGCCTAGAAACTGATGTTGACCGAGACAAGCGGGGTGGGTCTCCGGGGTATACCAGGTTTTCAAGAAGGAATATTACCATGTTCAGTTCATACATGGACAGACAGACAGACAGACAGACAGACACAGACAGACAGACTTTTTGGGGCAAACAAGATCAGATTCTAATTACCTTGGTTCCTTGTTCACAGAATAATGGAAAACATCATGATCATAATTTCTTCAGCTATATGTTTGTCCTATGTTTCCTATGTTAACAAACTTTCCTTTTTTACAGATATTGCCATGGGTTACCACTAATTCATTAGAGTGTACTGAAGTCAACCTAACGTCTTAATGATATTTCTGTCTGATAGGGCTTACAATAAGTAGTAGCTGGTACCACAAATACCACCAAGAATCTGTTTGCCACCCAAAACAGAAACAATTTACCATCAAACTGCTCACAGTGAAAATCATAAAAGGTAACGGCCATATGGCCATACAGCCAACATGGATGTAGTTGGATCAATGTTAAATGCACCTCTTATTTCAGAAACTTCATTGGAGTGTATGGATTTTGCTCCTACTAAACCGAAATAACTTGGTGGTAAAATCATAGCTTGGAAATGAAAACTACACTGGGTTTACTGACTTTGAAGACGTCTTGTTGCCATGTTGGGACTACTGTGTGAGTCTTGCTGTTGCCCCAGGCAACATCTCAGCAGGAAATCTAACAACTGCGTGTCATAGAATGAGGACCACACACTGTAAAATGTCTGGCCTTCCCTCTACAATGACTGTTCTAGACCCACTCGGAGGTTGATATTCAGCCCTATGTCTGCAGCATATGTTAGCAGTGAGTGAGTGAGTATGGTTTTACGCCGCTTTTAGCAATATTCCAGCAATATCACGGTGGGGGACACCAGAAATGAGCTTCACACATTGTACCCATGTCGGGAATCGAACCCGGGTCTTCTGCGTGACGAGCGAACGCTTTAACCACTAGGCTACCCGACCACCCCGCATATGTTAGCAACAATTTCCAAATTGGAACTAAACAATTCGCAATTCATACTTACTACGCATAATCCAAATTTCATTACATTTTGAGAAAAAATGGCCATATATAGGTATTAAAATGTGTTTGCCATGACAGCACTATGTCTGCAGCATATGATAGTAACAATTTCCAAATTGGAATTGTTTTTAAACAATTTACAATTCATACTAACTACGCATAATCCAAATTTCATTACATTTTGAGCAAAAATGGCCATAAATAGGTATTAAAATGTGGTTGCCATGACAGCCACATTGAAACTTGGATTCTAACCTCTTGATCCAATTCAGCTATCAGCACTGGTGGGAAAAGCATGTGAAGTTTGATTGGTCCAGTAGGTACTGACAAGATGTTTAAAGACACTGACATTGGATGCCGGACAAACAGGCCATGACACAAGCTCACTTTACTTTGAGCCAGGTGAGCTTAAACTATCGAGGATTGACTCACTGTGACCGTGGGTTTGTCCACAAAGTAGGTGCTGAGCAGCTCCACCCAGAAGTCCTCTGTCTCGTCCTTCATCTTCTTGTAGTTGTTGATGGAATTGACCCGGATGTCCAGCTGTAGCATGACGACAACACTATCTACACATCAGCTCACTCCATGGTATCTCGTACATATCAGTGGTTTGGTTTGTTTGTTTGTTGTTTAATGCCACACTCAGCAATATTCCAGCTATATGACGGCAGTCGATCCACTCAATTGGGATATGATGACATGAATCAACCAAGTCAGCAAGCCTTACAACTTGTTAGTCGCCTCTTACGAGGATCTTCAAGGGTCCATATCAGTGAGTGAGTTTTACACCACAGTTTATAGCAATATCAGGGTGGCCTGTGAATAATCATGAGTGACCAAACAAATTAGTGTTTGTTTGTTTGTTCTTTCATGACACAATATTCCAGCTACATGACAGAGGTCTGTAAATCGAGTCTTGACCAGATAATACAGTGACTGACATCATGAGCAGCGATCTTCGGAACTGGGATACGATGACATGCATCTACCACGTCAGCTAGCCTGACCACTAAATCCTGTTAGTCGCATTTTGCGACAAGCATAGAACTCACAAGAAGAATGGGTTGCTATTGTCCAAATCGTACCAACAAGTGACTGAAAGCATGAGCATTAATATACACCATTGTCAGCTCCTGTAGCTATCCTCCCACATTAAAAGGGGTGATTTGTTTGAGTGAGTGAGTGAGGTTTTACGCCGCTTTTAGCAATATTCCAGCAATATCACGGCGGGGGACACCAGAAATGGGCTTCACACATTGTACCCATGTCGGGAATCGAACCCGGGTCTTCGGCGTGACGAGCGAAGGCTTTAACCACTAGGCTACCCGACCGCCCCGGTGATTTGTTTGAAGCTTTGTGTGAAGGTGAGACTTTGTCAATGTAAGGGTAATAATCATGATAGGGAGTGAGTGAGTATGGTTTTATGCCGCTTTTAGCAATATTCCAACAATATCACGGGAGGCACCAGAAACAGGCTTCACACATTGAACCCATGAGGGTAATCAACCAGGGTCTTCGGCGTGACAAGCGAACGCTTTAACCACTAGGCTACCCCACCGCCTCATTAATCAAGATAATTAACTCCAAAATTTCACTTGGTAGAGGAGCTTGAATCCAACTTGCTGGAGCAGCCAATTTGCCAGAGTCAGACCTGTCAACCCCTCATCATGACAATGTGGGAGATTTGACTTCAAAATGGGGGAGATTTGACTCCAAAGGGGGAGATTTTTAAGATAGTGAAGATAAGATAATTTCCAACTTTTATTTTTAATAATGTTACAAAGAAAACCAAATATTTTGAAACAATAAATAATCAATAAGTTTCTTAAACGTACAGCTTGCTTAATTTCCGTTTGTATTTTCCTCCTCCAAAAATAAACCCAGCACAATCTACCCATATAACTTTCGTTCAAAGATCATCTCAGATAAACGCAAACAGATATTGAAATTTCACAATCGGTAGCTTGACCAGTTGATGACGTGTTCAATCCGACCAGTTGTCAGGCTTCGTTACGATGCACGTTTTCTGAGTATTTGGCGCGATGTTGGTTACAGAATTCGCCAAAGAAATATCAAATGCATTTATCCTGACGCAACATCATCGCCCTTAATTTCAATAAGATATACTGGGGTTTTTCTGTCTGCGGTAGTCTGTTGACAGTCCCATTACTTCGCTTCTTAAATTTCCTAGAAATGTTCACGTTATTTCATTCCAAGAAATGTATGCCATATTTGGAAGTACTATTACGTTTTACTACAATTTATGAATGAAATGAGTCTCGTTGTCGTTGTTGACCTTTCTGACCTTGACGTGTATTAATCTCATTGGTTGACTAGTACAGTTGTATGCAAATTAGATTGCAGATCTGGGACGCAAGCAAACTATTAGCCAATCAAATCGTGTAAAATAATCACATGATACATTCTCGCGAAATTTGATAAAGTTCTGTTTTGATATTTTCTGTGCACACAAGTCACGATGTCAGTCAAAAGGAAATTTATAAGTTTCACTTTAAACTTTGACTTTGAAATCCTAGCTGTGAGGAAGCCTGATCGTGTAACTCATTGTTATTTCGACTACCGAATCAACCAATCACGCATAGTGTTGTTTCTGAAGACGGCGCTTGCAGGACATATTTTGTTTTCATTTCCAAGAGTTCAATGACGTAACTTTGAGGTATGTTGATGTTTTAACAAAGTTTCTGACAAATCTGATAACCAATAAAGTCATGTATAACTGGACCGGCCATATGTTTCTACGTTCTTAAATTATGGAAGAATAAACACGCTAAGAACATGAAGACAACAGTTCATTTCATGAAGTGATGAATACTTGGCTGATTTTTCATTTCAATTTCAACCCTTCAGGCACCTGTTCGGACTATCCGAGTTTTCTTAACAGTTTACATTGTTCAATCGTTTACCATATGAATTTAATTACCAGTTGATTACTGGACAAAGGCCCATCTGGGTCCCCCTGCGGGTGGCTGCGATAAGGGTCGCTAATCCAGGAGCCTACCAGACAGATCGGGACGCAAACTTCCCGTTCATTGTTTTTACTCACGGGACAATGGAGGCGAATTTTTTAAATAATGAAGAATTCTGTTTTGCGGGAGAAATAGTCCATCTTGCGGGAGACTGGGAGATTTCATCAAATTGCGGGAGTCTCCCGCAAAATGCGGGAGGGTTAACAGGTCTGCAGAGTGTAGTCCCTCTTTTAGTTGGCACTCTGTGACTTAAATACTGGTCGAATTAGGGTAAAAAGCTCACTCAGTTTTTACAAGCACTGAATAAGGAAGAGAATATATGGATGTCAACTTCTTAATTATGAGGAAGTTGACATCCATAAATTTTCTTCCTCATGTGTTTCACTTCTAAATGCCAGCCAAGGACCTCAAGCGTTCACCGAGGTGTATTACATTTCTGCTCTACTTGTGAGTTGGTCAATATTGTTTCACAACTGGTGATCACTCACCAATATTACAGCTTTATTATGAGGAATGTAAACAATTGAGTCTGGACCTGTAACTAATTGAGTCTGGACCTGTAAATAATTGAGTCTGGACCTGTAAATAATTGAGTCTGGGCCTGTAAATAATTGAGTCTGGACCAATGATCAGCAGTGTTTTTGATCGACTCTGCTAGTCTGAGACAAGTAAACTGCACTCAATACTCACATCCTCCTTGTTGTCTCCGTACAGGAAGTCTCCGATCAGGATGAAGGCCATTGTGTCATGGGGCTGATCCTCCACCTGAAACAGCATGGTGTGGGCGGTAAAGGTGAGGTGAAATAGGGTTTAATGTTGCACTTACATAGCTACACATTCATGTGTGTGTGTGTGTGTGTGTGTGTGTGTGTGTGTGTGTGTGTGTGTGTGTGTGTGTGTGTGTGTGTGTGTGTGACTGCTTGTATTTGTCTGGACTAATGCTCATTTAATAGTGCTAGCCCACTGAGATACCATGCCACAGTTTAACAGGAATACCCTACTCAAACACAGTATATTGACTCTTAGCCGACCAGTCCTTGTTTTAGCCCCTTAATGCTGAGCGCCAGGCTTGGTAACAACAAACACCATCTTCTAACGTCTTTTGCTATGATGTGGCTGGGGGTTGAACCCTGGGCCTTCTGCTTTCTGGGCGGATACTCTACCGCTAGACCAGGGAAGCGGTCAGTAAGTCTCTGAGGATTTCACCTTTTATCAATATGGAAGTGTATGTTTGTTACATAATGCCACACTCCAGCTATATGACGGCGGTCTGCAAATAATCGAGTCTGGACCAGACAATCCAGTGATTGATATCATGAACATCAATTTGTGCAATTGGGATGACATGCATTAACCAAGTCAGCGAGCCTGACCATCCGAATCCATAAGTTGCCTCTAGGTTGGGTTCTATCAATATGGAAGTCTTGTATGGTTTTGAAAAAATACACTTTCCAACATTTTTCAAAAACATAGGTTGGTGGCAAAATAAATCTAAAAGTTCAGGAAGATACATCTGCATTAAACAAAGTTATCTCGTACAAGTGAGATTGCAAGGGTACACACTTGGCTTCTAATCTCCATGTACAATATCACTCTATATCACTCTATAGGCTTCTAGACAGGATAAAGCCAATGGTTAAAAACAGCATTTAAGGAACTTCATATAACTTGCACCACATGCATGTTCACAAGAAAACCTAGTTGCACCAGACAAAATTGCACCCACACATTTATCAAAGTTGTAACAGCCCAGTCTGCTGCCAGTGTCACAAAAATTCATGACGCATTGCTACAGGACACAGTCTTGAAGTACCCACAGTTTGATGATGTCAAGCCTAAGAAAGCATGACAAATTACACGTAACACAGGGATTAGTGATGTAGTATGGTACATAAAATCTAGAGGTATGGAGTGTGTTTGATTTTGTGTGGACAAGTAAGGGTTAGTCAGGCACAAATTTGACATGCACTTGACAGGGTTAGAAGTAAACTCACAAGCTTTACTAGCCTGGGCCAAGATAACATGCCCTTGGGATGTTAAAACAATGGGGAAATTTGGAAGTTTGATGTAACTAGCCCTGGGCTAGTAGGCTAGTGTTAAGTTCACACCCTGCTTGTTGCATGAAGACAAATATGCTGCACAAATGCAGTTATATATAGCTAAATCAAGCTCTGAACAGTATTCGCTAGGATCATTTACAGACAAACAAATATGAATGGTACACTAGGTACAACTGTCAGTGTTTACAAACAAACATGGTGTCACCCATCTCTATCGTTGATCGAGTCAGAATTGAGCAGTGATCTTGACAAATTTACTGGAATAATAGATCACAGTTCAATCAAGAAGGCCTTCTTGGTTTAGATCAATGGGACTGATAATGAAGGTCAACTGACAATTCTCTGATACAATATAAACATGACATTTGTCAGTTTGGGATGGTAAATATCCTGTAAAAGTAATAGACACAAATACACTGTGTTTATTGCTACTACAGGATATTTACCATCCACAAACACACTCTTGTGATAACCATTTTGATGAAAGACTAAAGTGAACAGTGGGAGCAGTGCCAAGTTACACTTATCAGAGGGGTACACAAAGTAGGTGATCTAGACTACCAGTTGTCAGACTTTCACTTTTGTGGAAGCCTTGGCGGCTGAGTGGGTTAGATCGCTGACTTTGTGTGCTAGTGATTAGGTGCCTCACTCTGGCAGTATGGGTTTGAATCCTGGATGGGACTCAACCTAAAAGTACTGGAATCTGTACTTTACTAATGAAGGAGTAGGCGGACCTAGGATTATGAATAAAGGGTGGGGTGGGTTTGTGGACGGATCTCTGGTTCATGCACTACACTAATTAGAGTGAGTGAGAGAGTGAGTATGGTTTTACGCCACTTTTAGCAATATTCCAGCAATATCACGGGGGGGGCCACCAGAAATGGGCTTCACACATTGTACCCATGTCGGGAATCGAACCCGGGTCATCGGCGTGAAGAGCGAACGCTTTAACCACTAGGCTACCCAACCGCCCCACACTAATTAGAAGCCATAGCTGACCTCAGGGTCTGCCAGTGCATCTGGTACTCACGTTATTGAGAGACTCCAACACACTCCGGTGAATGAGACTCTGCAACCTCTTCATGTCAATCTTCTCCTCCCCTGATCCCAGCTTCTTCAGCACATCCTGCAACCTGGGCACGTAACAAGTTACTTCACACATCACCAGCCTCCGTCATCCACTGTATTATACCTCATTCTAACATGATAAACACCCTGGACCTGTTCGCCACCATAGTTTAGTTTTAGAAGCGACACCACCATCTCCAGAGTGCCGTTGTACAAAACAATCTTAGTGCTACAACTGTCGCAAGTCTATGTTAAGGCATGGGAGTTACGATCACCTTAGCGCAAATATCACTTTGTACAACGACACCCAGGTCTAATATCACCAACTTAGAACAAAATTCTCATTTGAATGTGAGTTCTGCATATATCTTCATAAAAAATTGTGGCCCCTTAAGAGCGAGCATTGACATATGAAACCAAACACAAAGACTGTTTTGCTTGACAATTAGATGCAAAAGAGGGGAGTCATTATGCTGCAAGATGTTCCCAGTTGTATTTGAGATGGAGCACCACAACACCATTTTTCAATCAGGAAACAGCAGTGAACTCATATTTTGTTCAGAAAAAGATACTGAATTTCCTGACAAGTTTGTTCTTTTAATGGACAGTAGCGCTGGCTATCTACATAGATCTTAGAGATCAATAATCGTTAACTAAATATTGATCAACTATCGATAAATAAATAACTTTCAGCACATATACAAAAAGCTCTGAGACAAAACATCACATTTCACGTCACTGGTGAGTGGTGACACATTTATGCATGGATTACTTTGTGGACATTTAAGGCATAACAAATTCAGTTGCTTTCCGTCTTCAGCAGCGACAAAAACAAGTCTGCTTCGTTAACTTAAAAACTTTATTTCATTACATAGTTTATGTAAGATATTATTGATAACACAATTCTCATATTGATTATCGACAATAATTTCGATTATCGATCTTTATAGCGTGCCCTAATGGACAGGCCCATGTTTTGAACTTACTTTCCATCAATCTGTTTCAGTTTGTCGACAGGCACGTTTTGGAACATGAGGTAGATGCAGCTCTCTCGGTTTTCTATCATGGAGTCTGATATCTGCAACAATGTGGCACAGACATGACAGACTCCATCTCCCTGAGGCAACAGTGTCCACTAACCTCTATGTAAAGCTCCACTTTAGAGGACACTCTTGGACACTTAGAAACCAGGACCTTTTTCTAACTGTGCTTTACAGTTTTAATAGTGATAGTACCTGTGATAGTACTAGAACAAAAGGAAATTGAAACAAAAGACATCAATATGCCAGTTATATGTATGATGTGATCTTCAGCAGGCTACCCAGTGGTTGATAGAATGAGCATTGAACCATGCAGCCTGGGTATGATGACACACTAAGTCAGCCAGGCCACAGTATTAAACTGAGGGTTCTTCAGTTCAGGAACTATCCCTCATTAGTTGCCATTGTGGACATCCGATCCCTTTTTGAGTTGCCTTAAGGATATTGCTATAAGGGACCAGTACAATTTACCTCAAACAACATTTGCCTGTATAAAATGTTATTATACTACACGTTCCATGTACAATTACTGTAATTTCAACTGTGTAAGGGTCTGTAATGTGACTTGCATATAAACTTAAAATCAAATATAAAATAGCATGAGAAAAACAATATAAGCTGTCTGTTTTGTCTTAAATCACACTGATTGGATTTTAGGTTTATTTGTTTGTTGTTTAACACTAAATTCAGTCATATTACAGCGGCCAGTAAAAAACCAAGTCTGGACCAGACAATCTAGTGATTAATATTGGGAAACAAAGATAGGTTATCTATGAAATCACTGAGCCTGACCACCTGATACATTAAGGTACCTCTTATGATACACGGGGCATGGGTGGCCCAGTCGTCTAAGGCGCTGTGATTCGCTGTGCAGAGTTGCATCCCTTGGGCACAACAGAAACCTATGATTGTGGGTTCGAATCCTGGGTTCGCCCGATTATGCTTCTAGGTTTGTCAGCACCATACCCGTGCTCGTGGATTTCACCGAAGTGGTAAACATCTGAGACCTGCATCATTTCGGGCTTTCCTCCCACATTAAGCTGACACGCCATGATATAACTGGAATACTGTTAAAAGCGGCGTTAAACCCAACTCACTCACTCACTCTAATGATCTGCATGCTGGGCGCCTATTCTTACTCAGAATCCCCACAGCGATATATTTCCATACTGTGCCTCAAAAATTATAGACATATTTCTTTAAAATCAATAATTGCTGTACAACAATTCACTAATGTCTGTTTCAGTAAATCCAAGGCTACAGATCCCTTACCTTGCTGCAGTAAGGGTCTGGGATCTCTACAAACTCCCGCTGTAGCGGAGAAATGGCCGAATCACACAGGTAGTTGAGCAGGACACCGATACTCATCATCTTGTACTGCTCCTGAAGACAGACAGCATCGACTTTCAACAGTGTCTTACTGGACAGCATGTGATCAAACTGCCTTCAACTATGAGCTTTGTGCTAAGAGATAGGTAAACTCCCGGTGAGAACTTGCTGGGTTCCAGTTACCATACTGAAAGTTCCATAGCAGTCAAAGACAGATCCTATTGTCACACAAAAATACTTTATCCAACATAATTCTTTGGAAGTTGTGAACTGGTAATGATATCATTGTTGCATTCTCTGAAGCAGGGTGTACAAGATTTTACGAGCTGAACGTTTGTTGACGCTCCTTGACCTTGAGTCTCTTTGAGTACCAGACCAGGAATGTCTGTAAATGAGGTCTAACATTGTCCCTAGGTTATACTTCAGCAATAGAAACTAACAGTTTTAGTCCACTAGTCCTTATGATGATAACATATAGCAAAACCCTTGAAAAAGGGAAATTTCTACTGTACTAGTCCTCAGGATACCTTAACTATTGGGCAGTTTGGCAAGGACTATAGGACGAGTGCCAATTTCTAACGCTGTACTTACAGGGGGATCAACTGGTTGTGATAATATTTGTTGAAAGTTGAATGTTCATGTACACTCCTTGATCTTCGGTCTCACTGTGTAAACTCAACTATTTGACAGATGTAACTCATACTCTATCTCTGACTTGTCTGGACCGCCTCCGTGGTCTAGTGGTCGAGCATCTGCCCGAGAGCGGAAGGTCCGGGGTTCGATCCCTGGCCGCCTCATTCCAGAAGATGTTAAAAAATGGTACTTGTTGTTACCCTGTCTGGTGCTCGACATTAAGGTACTAAAACAAGGACCCATCAGCTCGGAGTCAGTACACTGTAGTGTCTGAGTGGGATATTCATGTTAAACTGCGGCATGGATTCTCATTGGGCTAGCACTATAAAATTGGCATTAGTCTGGACTAGAATAGTGCATGCAGCCACATACACACACACAGACATGTGCATATATAAGTGCAATAATCTTTGATGCGATGTTAAACCCCATTTCACCTCACCTCTGACATGTCTACCGATCTCATCACCACACAAACCCATGTATTGGGACTCATGGCCATTCTAAACCAGCTTGGAAATATGTTGGATTGGTTGCAGGTCCATTACTCTTAGTCCTGCAGGAGCCCTGAGTTTCATAAAAAAAGTAAATGTCTACGATAAACATCACTCTGCAATTTCCTCCCACATTGAGCTGAGTGAACCAGTCTTCCCCAGTTGTCCCCATGTCTTTATGTGTGGATCTCGTGAGTTGCCATGACTTCCTCTTACCTTGGCCTTGGGTCCTCGCCATGCCACTCTCACCATTCCGTGTTTTTCTTCATCAGAGGGATAGGGTATATTTTGGTGTACAGTTGAATCTAGACTTGGGACTTCACTCTGCCATGGTCTGGTGAAAGCTGGCCTAGATCCCTGCAATAACAGAACAAACATTAACCCTAACATTGTCAGCTTTAGCTAGCTGTACTCAATCCCAGCTGTACTCACTCCCAGCTGTACCCAGTCCCAGCTCTACTCAATCCCAGCTGCATCCAACCCTAGTTGTCCAATCCCAGCTGTACGCAATGCCAAGTGTACTCAATCCCAGCTATACCCAACCCCAGCAGTACCCAACCCCAGCAGTACCCAACCCCAGCTATACCCAACCCCAGCTGTGCCCAACCCCAGCCGTACCCAACCCCAGCTGTGCCCAACCCCAGCCGTACCCAACCCCAGCCGTACCCAACCCCAGCTATACCCAACCCCAGCTGTGCCCAACCCCAGCCGTACCCAACCCCAGCCGTACCCAACCCCAGCCGTACCCAACCCCAGCAGTACCCAACCCCAGCTGTGCCCAATCCCAGCAGTACCCAACCCCAGCAGTACCCAACCCCAGCTGTACCCAACCCGAGCAGTACCCAACCACAGCTGTGCCCAACCACAGCTGTGCCCAATCCCAGCTGTGCCCAACCCCAGCTGTGCCCAACCCCAGCTGTGCCCAACCCCAGCTGTGCCCAATCCCAGCTGTACTCAGTGTTTGATCTCACAATCAACTATTCTTGACATTGAGTTATAATCATGATAATGTACCAGTGAGGGAAACATGGGAAACAACCTTACACCATCACCAATGTCACCAACTTAAACCAACCCAGATTGAATCATCTGTCCAATCATATGGCTGGTGTAAACCTCAGGGGATTTCCAGCATTTCAGACAGACAATCAGTAATACCACAGTTTGAATAGTTTATTCTATATCATGTATATACAACAAATGTTGTTTTAAGAAAGAAAAATGAAGAAAAAAGTTTGAAATGTCAACCTTACATAGAAACGCCACTGAAGGCAGCCAAGGATAAAGTCATATTGTGTTGTTCTCAACAATGAGTGAGTGAGTGAGTATGGTTTAACGCTGTTCTTAGCAATGTTCCAACAATATCACAGCGGGACATTGTACCCATGTCGGGAATCGAGCCTGGGTCTTCCGCGTGACGAGCGAACGCTTTAACCACTAGGCTACCTGACAGCCCCATCTCAACAATGAAGCAATATGATCTCATATCACTTCAACTCACTGATCAGCCTTGAGAATTGCTAAAATACTCATGTCTTCAAATAACTGATGTCATTACAGTGGACCATTCTATCATCGATGGTAATATGAACTGTTAACATCGGAAGAAAAAAACATTCAGCAATAGACGTCAGTACCAAAAACATTTTCCTTTGGAAGTAACAATACTAACCTTAACACTGAATACTAAGGGTGCGTGGTATTACCGGTATATCAGTAAATTCAGGTTCATTCTTTCCTCGTAAGGTATTACAATAAAAAAAATTCATGCTGAGTATATCGGGTGATTTCAAATAGCGACTTCTATCATGTGTTTAATGTTATACACTGGCCAAATACCTTCGCTGCCCCGTCGCGTGCATCCAGGGCCCCAAGATGGCTGCATGTTTATTAAATGAGTAAACATTTTGTTGTACCAGCATCCTTTTTTGTTCTATTTGTGAACTTTCCTCCATACATTGATGTTTCAGATTTTTCTGAATTCAATATTTAGAATTATACAATATATCGAGATACGTATGGCAATACGGCCTTGTGGATTGCAAAATGTTGTGATACACTTCAAACCTCCCATACCCATCCCTACTGATTTATACAGAGTCCAATGAAGGGTAGACAACTGTGCTTGTTAAACACACTGACAGGACCTGACAAGATGTTTTTAAATAATACAAAACACATCAGTAATGTTACAATCTGAACGCTGTCAATCTACCTTTGCTATGATCCTGTCCTCCACAGGTTGGAGGGCAGCAAAGATCTTGTCTGGCGTGACCTGGCCTGTGATTATCAGACACAGATTCTCGGGGCGATAGAATTCCTTGTGGTAGCTGCACACCTGACAACAACAGAAAATGGTTACCATGGTTATAAGGCTTCAACATATTGTTTTCAGGTACCCCCTGGATGTTACATCCAGAAAAATATATATGTATGTTTCCTTCTGCAGATACTTTTCAACAGCCAATCATGCCAATAGCATGATGAGCGCCAGAACATTTTGGCATCTTTAATAGAGAATACACATTTACAGGGTGCTTCTAATGAACACAGGGGTCGATTTAACTGCTGGACCGTTAGTCCATGGCCAGTTGATACTACAAAAGGCTTGCTGAAACATAAACTTCACCCCTGCTCTGTGTATGATTAAATTTTTTAATGGGACACTGCTCGTGAATCATGTAATTTCCATGAGAAAATATTTAGGGGTTATAAGGTCATGTGAATGGATAACTCAAAGATCATCTTGATAGAATGACACAACCGGCGGCCATTTTGTAATGTCCTGTCAAACAACATCCTTATTTGCTCATAAAATCACCACATATGGAAGCCAAGATCCAGAGTGCAGGAAATGATGCTTTAGGGGTTAGGAGTTCTAAAATATTTGAAGCCCCTGGGTAACTCAGTCGTGGCCTCCAACATTTAGTTTGGGGCCAGTAACTTTTGAAAGGAGCAAGCCCTGCTGGCTACATACAAACTTGTTAAATCTACCTCTGTGAACATATGTAACATATGACAGCTTCATGGACAATAAAACTCCTAACATGCGTACCCTGGGATAGGATGTGCTCTCTCTGAGGTTGAGAAGCATGCCGCCAGTCTCCGACTTGTAGCCACAGTGTCCGGGGTACATGCCCCTCAGCATAGCCAGGTGGGTGAGACTCTCCCCTGTGTTCTCCCGCGCCTGCATCTCACAGTACACCACGCCCGCATCCTCACCTTCCTCATTGATGTGGTGCACTTCCGTGATGTACCCAGATTCCTGGAACACAGGCAGTGAGAGCTGGTTCAGTAATCAGAGAGAGCTGGTTCAGTAATCAGTGAGAGCTGGTTCAGTAATAAGAGAGAGCCAGTTCAGTAATCAGAGAGAGCCAGTTTAGTCATCAGAGAAAGCTGGTTCAGTAATCAGTGACAATAGACTCGTTCAGTAATCAGTGACAATAGACTCGTTCAGTAATCAGTGACAATAGACTCATTCAGTAATCAGTGACAAGAGACTCATTCAGTAATCAGTGACAATAGACTCGTTCAGTAATCAGTGACAATAGACTCATTCAGTAATCAGTGACAATAGACTCGTCTATATAGATAGGCAGCAGTTTGAGGAATCAGTGATGGTTACTAAACGGCCCTCTTTCCCACCTTGAGTGTTGGATAAAGGATATGGTCTATATAGACAGGCTGCAGTTTGAGGAATCAGTGATGGTTACTAAATGGCCCTGTTTCCCACCTTGAGTGTTGGATAAAGGATATGGTCTATATAGATAGGCAGCAGTTTGAGGAATCAGTGATGGTTACTAAACGGCCCTCTTTCCCACCTTGAGTGTTGGATAAAGGATATGGTCTATATAGACAGGCAGCAGTTTGAGGAATCAGTGATGGTTACTAAATGGCCCTGTTTCCCACCTTGAGTGTTGGATAAAGGATATGGTCTATATAGACAGGCAGCAGTTTGAGGAATCAGTGATGGTTACTAAATGGCCCTGTTTCCCACCTTGAGTGTTGGATAAAGGATATGGTCTATATAGACAGGCAGCAGTTTGAGGAATCAGTGATGGTTACTAAACGGCCCTCTTTCCCACCTTGAGTGTTGGATAAAGGATATGGTCTTTATAGATAGGCAGCAGTTTGAGGAATCAGTGATGGTTACTAAATGGCCCTGTTTCCCACCTTGAGTGTTGGATAAAGGATATGGTCTATATAGACAGGCAGCAGTTTGAGGAATCAGTGATGGTTACTAAATAACCCTGTTCCCCACCTTGAGTGTTGGATAAAGGATATGGTCTTTATAGATAGGCAGCAGTTTGAGGAACCAGTGATGGTTACTAAATGGCCCTGTTCCCCACCTTGAGTGTTGGATAAAGGATATGGTCTATATAGACAGGCAGCAGTTTGAGGAATCAGTGATGGTTACTAAATAACCCTGTTCCCCACCTTGAGTGTTGGATAAAGGATATGGTCTATATAGACAGGCAGCAGTTTGAGGAATCCCTCTGACCCGGCATTGGTCATCGTGTAACATGTGTGGTCAGTGTCTGTCCAGGCATTGGTCCCTGATGCCAGGCATCTGTTGGCGAGGAGATCCAGGACTCCCTGAAATGCACAGTCACAGAACTTACAGGAATAATTCATTAGGCCACACTTTTTTAATTTTATGTTGCACAGATTTAGTCCAGCTTTTCCACTCAAGGTCGGTTGAAATAAATAAATAAATAAATCGCTATGTCAATTATTTAGTTATTTATATGAAAGTCATTCTGCTGTGGAGTTAAAACTGAAGCTGGCTTCTTGAATTTCTGATAGTGATGTAGACATGGAATTAATATATAACATTTTATATATCATAAGAGGGTCTATATTACTAGTGAGAGACATAATAAAAATAAATATTTGTATGTTTAATTTATTTATTTCCAAGCTGATAGTAGGGGCGGCGGGCCCGTGAAATGAAAACGCAGTTTTTACATGGTATTGATGAGGTGATGATGATCATGTATTACAGTAACATTGAAGTGTAAATGTACTTGTCCCTAGACACAGACACTTGAGTGTAATATTAAAAAATAAATTGTACGGTATGTCTCAAATCATATTTTAGTTCTCGCTACCTCTAAACAAAGATCTGAGGACACCCCACTCCATGTCAGAACGAACTTTAGCAAACTTTGACCGACCAATGAGATTACTAACATGAAGTCAACATTAGCCAATCAGAAAGCAATTTCTCAAACTATACAGCACTCGTTTCAAACAGGCGACTTCCATTCCAGATATGCTTCAAAGATATTTTGACAAGTTCTAGATTTAAAATTTGAAAACTGAACAAAAGAACATTCTGGAATGTCAAATATGTGGCCTAGGTTGTATGGCAGTACATCCCACGGTCCTTGCAAAGTCTCTTCGGTTCAATTGTTTATCCCCTTGAAGCAAGAGGCAGATGATAATTCTGATGGAATCAGTCGTACAGCTTGAACTGTTGTTAGGAATACCCTATGTTAACCTATCTGAGGTCGCATGATTAGAAAAACACATTCTGATGGTCACTTTCCTGATCTGGTAAGTAATAGGTCGGATTATTGGTCGTTCTGACTTGACCCATAATGGGTTGTCCTCAGATTATTGATTAGCGGTAGAGAGAACTAAGATCTGATTTTTATGAGATTGTATGATGAGTAATCGAACACTGCCGATCATGTTGTTTTGCTTTAATTTTCCAGAAAAGTATATGGTGCAGCCAGTTTATCTGTTTAACACTTAACTGCAGCCTTCACCAGGTGCAGTGGCAAAAATCCACAACGAAAACGCACCTTGTCAAGATAGAGCAAAGCCATCATCAGTCACAGACGTAACGTGTACGCGAGGCAGCGAGTGCGGTCCCCAGTACTCAGTGAAGCGCTTGACACTAATTAATTCAATCACTATGGTTGTGCTAACAACCGCGAACTCCGCAAAAGTAAATTAAAGCGCTACGTAAAATCATCCACTGCAGAGAAAAACCCCAATCTGCGTGACCCCAATCAGTGACTGGCAGGTCATGTGTGCATCAAGGCATCTGTCTTCCTATCCTCTCATACTCTATTTTCGAACAGTTAAAACGACATGTCAGCATGTCATTATGGACACAGCAAATAAATGGACAAAATGAAAGTTATCCCCTGGTCCCAGTTCCACAAAGCGATCTTAGCGCTACAACAAGCATAACTCCCATACTTTTACATAGACTTTAGATAGTTGTACCGTTAAGATCACTTTGTGGACGGGGCCTGGAAGAGGGATGCTGCTTCACTGGTGGCACTACAAGCTACAGCAGCTAGTGTCTAGTCTGACCTTGTATGGGTACTGCTCACTGCCCATGAAGATGTGGTGCTCCAGGGTGTGTGGGAGGCCATCATCATCGTGGGCTTCAGTTGCTGTCAACAAGGAAAACCACATCAATCATCATCTTCAACAGTGAGTGAGTGACTTGGATTTCACACTGCTATGAACAGCATTTCAGTTTTATCAGGGCGTGTCCGCTTACTGTGGGAAAAGGCCAAAGTGATGCAGGTCTCAGACCACTTTGGTGAAACCCAAGCATGGGTATGGTGCTGACAAACCTTGAAAAAAAATCTAGCATAAGAAATTGGCACTAGTCCTATAGTCCTTACCAAACTGCCCAATAGTTAAGGTACCATAAGGACAAGTAGATATTTGCCATAATTAAGGCTTTGGCTATATGTTATCATTATAAGGACTAGTGGACTAATACAATTAGTTTCTATTGCTGTAATCTTGGTGAACCAGGAATCAAACCCACAATTGTATTTGTGGCATCTTAGACGACTGGGCCACCCATACCCCACTTATCTTCAACAGAATTATGAAATTCAGAACAAAAGTGCAACATCACATTCACTTGTCTCATTTTGTGTATAATCTAAAACTGATATTTCAAAGTAAGTTTTTATTTCTACCACAATTGGCAGGGATGGACTTTTATTTCAACGTGAGACCAGCACTGATAAAGATGTTCAGGGTGCCCCTTGCAATGAAAGTGTGCCAACCACAATACATTTTAATCAAAATTTCAAATCCTTTTATTCCAGGTGTTCATAGGTTCATCATTTTCCATGTTCGTCCAGTTTACTTCACAGCTTCACGGGGGCACGAGTGGCCCAGTCGTCTAAGGCGCCGCGATTGGCTATGCAGAGTTGCATCCCTTGGGCTCGCCAGAAACCTATGATTGTGGGTTCGAATCCCGGTTCGCCCCGATTATGTTTCTAGGTTTGTCAGCACCATACCCGCGCTTGTGGGTTTCACTGAAGTGGTAAACGTCTAAGACCTGCATCACTTCAGGCTTTCCTCCCACATTAAGCTGACACGCCGTGATATAACTGGAATACTGTTAAAAAGTGGCGTTAAACCCAACTCACTCACTCACAGCTTCACATCAAAATCACTGTCACAATGGACACTTTGCTGGTGATTGTTTGCTTGTTTGTTGTTTCATGCTGCACTCAGCAATATTCCAGCTATATGATGGATGTCTGTAAATAATCGGGCCTGGACCAGATAATCAAGTGATTGACATCATGAGAACAATCTTCGCAATTGGGATACGATGACAAGCATCAACCAAGTCCGCGAGCCTGACCACCCGATCCTGTTAATGGCCTCTTGCGACAAGCATAGTCGCTTTTTACGGCAAGCATGTGTTGCTGAAGATCTATTTACCCTGGATCTTCACAGGTCCTATGCCAATGAATCCAGTTTAGCCAACAGCTCTTTTTCGAGTGCTCCTGTTACATGACATATTCAAATAAATGATATCTTCACACAGGGGATGGAATTAAAGGTCTCATGTTGGAATGTTTTTTTTCCTTGTGAACAAGAGCGGGAATCACATCTTGCCCTTTTAATCATGTTATTGTCTTAAAAGAACAAAACATTCAACTAATACAAAAAATAATAATTTTCCATGTTAAAGCCACCAATGACTTTCATGACCTTATTCACACATTTACCTCCCTTTGACTGCAAACACCAAAAGGCGGGTTATAAAGAAAAGTAGTGATAAGAAAGAAAATTAAAAGAATGAATAGAAAAAACAAAAATATAATTACCAGCTGTTATGAAAGTTTCTTAAAAAGATCTTGTTGTGTACATGAATGTAACTTTTTACTGAAGCTATGCATTTATAATTACAAAAACGTAAAAGTTGAAATTTCAAAATGCAAAAAAGAGAACCTCAAACATCTCTCCACATTCATAAAATGTCAAATATATATACTTGTTCACAATAAAATTGTTATTATGTTTGAAAATATCCCATCCTGGTTAGCCACATTTATTACACCTATGCTCATGGGTTTCACCAAAGTGATAATCGTCTGAGACCTGCATCACTTTAGGCTTTCCTCCTACATTAACCGTATAATCCTATTTGTTATGCATCTTAAAACAACAGAGCATTAGGGCACAGACAATGGCACTTGTAATCCTCTGCCCCTCGCCTGGCAAGAATGCAGTATACCGAACACCTTCTGCCATTGTAAGGGATGTGAACAAGCTTATTCCTTAGTAACGGTTTCTATGTTTTTCAGATGCCATTTTAGTCGCCTCGCTAAAACAGGGGGGTTGGTGGGATTGCCCCCAACTCAACGGCCTGAATTAAATGCTTTCGTAACTAAATGAAATGTTTAATTACCAAAGTAGATACAAAACACTTTATTAGTAACAAATATGGCGGATTGGGTTCCGGCATAATGCACGTGTAACCCCTTTGCTAATTTTCGAATCACGCTTTCCATACACGTATTGTATCGGGACGTGCATCTCACAGACTTGCTGTTAGAAAAAGGAAATCAAGACAAGAAGATTTATTGCAGTGTTGATGCAGACGAGGGGATTAGGGAACCAGATAACGTGCGGACGGCAAACTGCATCTACACACTTCCGGGTGTCACTTACATCACGATACACAATTGTGCACTAGTAGTCAGGAAACGCTGATCGAAATTGGGACAGCGTTGGTTAAAAAAAATAATCTATTTTGTTTTCCTGTTACCTACCCAAACAGAAATAACCATTGACAAGAGGTCCTTCAACCTGGGCTATGAATACAGAAATGCCAGTTTCTTTCGATCGATATTTTGAAACAGGGATGCTATCATTAGCAACCACTGTAAACAGAAACTCGAAATTGTCACTGGACGTCGCCATTTTGCCGCTGGAGATGAATGATTAAAAAAGTTGGAATGATTAATGATGGCTTACATGTAATATGAATGTAAAGCCATTGACTTTGCTACACTGATGCAATTGAGAAATATGATAAAATAAGATACTATGGCAAAATAAAATCTATCATGTATTGAGTAAAGGAGAAAGTAATTTCAAACATATATCTTTATTAAGTAAAAAATTAGGAACAATCCAAACTTTAAATGGAAAATGATTACTAAAAAAACACCTTCAATATTGTCACACATATTGTTTTTTCAATTTTTACGCATCTAAACATGCTGAACTATTCTTGGTCAGAGATTCAATACAAAAAATCATTTTGGATGAGTGTGATCAGAGATAATATTTTTTAATGTCTCTGGTGTGATAAGATTCCGGAAAAAACAAAAATGATGCAAAGAAGATTGATTCCCTTTCCATCCCATCTCAGCTGTAGCAGCCTATACTCACCCCCTTGTCAGCTGTAGCAGCCTATACTCACCCCCTTGTCAGCTGTAGCAGCCTATACTCACCCCCTTGTCAGCTGTAACAACCTATGCCCAGCTCCTATCTCAGCTGTAGCAGCCTATACTCACTCCCTTGTCAGCTGTAGCAGCCTATACCCCCCCCCTCTCCCCCACCTCCCCCCTGCATACACACACACTCCTCGCCTTACTGTTGTCACTGAATTACAAATCATAGCGCCGTAAAATCAAACTCATTCACTTATTCACCGCCAAGATTGATTCTATTATGAAATGGGTGCGTGGGTGAATTAATATTTATTGTCTCACATCGGCAATATTTGAGCCATATCGCGACCAAATCAAGTTGTACAGAAATAATACATAATTATAGATTATAACATCTGTCGACAAAGGACAGTAAAAGCACTAGATAATCACAGATATAGATTTAAAACTAGCATAACACTCGAATGAGCACGAGACGATGTGAGTGTTAATCACCCGGATGTATGATATCTAATAAATGTATGGCTAATCACCAGGAATTATTTCCATAAACTATTAGCTTCATTTCATCTCTGTGTGTAAAGGGCGGTGGGGTAGCCTAGTGGTTAACATGTTCGCTCGGTACGTCGAAGACCCGGGTTCGATTCCCCATGGGTACAATGTGTGAAGCCTATTTCTGGTGTCCCCCGCCGTGATATTGCTGGAATATTGCTAAAGTGGGGTAAAACCACAATCTGTTCACTTACTGTGTGTGTGTAAAATAATACATGAAATTACCCCACCTCCCCTCTGGTACCGTGATCGATTGATCTAGTGGACTAGATTGTGTATTAGTCTATTTCATTGTGGTATTATTTGTGTTTTTCCACCAGTCCACAGAGACTACGACTCCACCCATGCATGTCGTATACAGGCGAAACTCCCCAAACGTTTGTCCAGCTTTAGACAGCTTCCGTGGTCTAATGGTATAGCGTCCGCCTGGAGAGCGGAAGGTCCGGGGTTCGATGCCCAGCCGCGTCATACCAATAGACGTTAAAAGATGGTACTTGTTGTTACCCTGTCTGGGGCTAAAACAAGGACTGGTCGGCTCGGAGTCAGTATACTGTGTCTGAGTGGGGTATTCATGTTAAACTGCGGCATGGTATCTCAGTGTGCTAGCACTATAAATCGGCATCAGTCCGGACTAGTACAAGCAGCCACACACACACACATATACACGTGCATGCACGTCGCTATATAAATGCAATAATCTTCGACGCGACGTTAAACCCCATTTCACCTCACCTCACCTTGTCCAGCTTTACATATATTAAGCTGTGATTGTTAACTGATAATACAGCTTATTAAGGTGAAAATAAACACAAAAATAATTCAAATAATCTCACAATAAAAATTACTGCCTATGTTTCTTGCCTCTCCCCACAGTTCATAGTTTCACAACCGCACCCATTTCACAAATAACTTTCCCCCTCTTCATCCAAGTTTGTCATTATTTCATCAAGTGACCGCCTGTTCGCCTACACACACGGCACATGTTTAAAATCGATTTTGTTAAATGACAGGGAGCGTGAGATTGTAGTCATTATATATATTGCATTGTGTGTTATATACACTGCATTGTGTCTGTATAACGATAAGAAATCCATATGAAATTACCACAGAACCTTGAACTGAAAACAAGGAGTTTGCGTGTCAGACAAGCATGGGCGATATAGTTATCACAGAGATCGTCCAGCACTTACATGCTTAATTCCGTTAAATAGCGTACACACACATGTGTAGGGGCTATTATCAGTCGACAGTCTGTTTGTTGGATTTTTTTGGGTACAAAAATGAAAGGAATTTACTTTTCATTTTAAGTATTCATTTGATAAATTGATAAATCTGCACGTTGGAAATTCTTTTGTATAACATTTGAATACCAATATCCCATGTGTAGATGGGTGGTGAATGTGGTTGTCAACACATGTGAAGATGGGTGGTGAATGTGGTTGTCAATACATGTGTAGATGGGTAGTGAATGTGGTTGTCAATACATGTATAGATGGGTGGTGAATGTGGCTGTCAATAAATGTGAAGATGGGTGGTGAATGTGGTTGTCAATACATGTGTAGATGAGTGGTGAATGTGGCTGTCAATACATGTGTAGATGGGTGATGAAAGTGGTTGTCAATACATGTGTAGATGGGTGGTGAATGGTGTTGTCAATACATGTACATATGGGTGGTGAAAGTGGTTGTCCATACATGTACATATGGGTGGTGAATGTGGTTGTCAATACATGTACATATGGGTGGTGAATGTGGTTGTCAATACATGTGTAGATGGGTGGTGAATGTGGTTGTCCATACATGTACATATGGGTGGTGAATGTGGTTGTCAATACATGTATAGATGGGTGGTGTATGTGGTTGTCAATAGCTGTGTAGATGGGTGGTGAATGTGGCTGGCAATACATGTATAGATGAGTTGTGAATGTGGTTGTCAATACATGTGTAGATAGGTGGTGAATGGTGTTGTCAATACATGTGTAGATGAGTGGTGAATGTGGTTGTCAATACATGTGTAGATGGGTGGTGAATGTGGTTGTCAATACATGTGTAGATGGGTGGTGAATGTGGTTGTCAATACATGTGTAGATGGGTGGTGAATGGTGTTGTCAATACATGTGTAGATGTGTGGTGAATGTTGTTGTCAATACATGTATAGATGGGTGGTGAATGGTGTTGTCAATACATGTGTAGATGTGTGGTGAATGTGGTTGTCAATACATGTATAGATGGGTGGTGAATGTGGCTGTCAATAAATGTGAAGATGGGTGGTGAATGTGGTTGTCAATACATGTGTAGATGAGTGGTGAATGTGACTTGTCAATACATGTGTAGATGGGTGATGAAAGTGGTTGTCAATACATGTGTAGATGGGTGGTGAATGTTGTTGTCAATACATGTGTAGATGGGTGGTGAATGGTGTTGTCAATACATGTACATATGGGTGGTGAAAGTGGTTGTCCATACATGTACATATGGGTGGTGAATGTGGTTGTCAATACATGTACATATGGGTGGTGAATGTGGTTGTCAATACATGTGTAGATGGGTGGTGAATGTGGTTGTCCATACATGTACATATGGGTGGTGAATGTGGTTGTCAATACATGTATAGATGGGTGGTGAATGTGGTTGTCAATAGCTGTGTAGATGGGTGGTGAATGTGGCTGGCAATACATGTGTAGATAGTTGGTGAAAGTGGTTGTCAATACACGTGTAGATGGGTGGTGAATGTGACTGTCAATACATGTGTAGATGGGTGGTGAATGTGGTTGTCAATACATGTGAAGATGGGTGGTGAAAGTGGTTGTCAATACATGTACATATGGGTGGTGAATGTGGTTGTCAATAAATGTATAGATGGGTGGTGAATGTCGTTGTCAATACATGTATAGATGGGTGGTGAATGTGGTTGTCAATACATGTGAAGATGGGTGGTGAATGTCGTTGTCAATACATGTACATATGGGTGGTGAATGTGGTTGTCAATAAATGTATAGATGGGTGGTGAATGTCGTTGTCAATACTTGACATATGGGTGGTGAATGTGGTTGTCAATAAATGTATAGATGGGTGGTGAATGTCGTTGTCAATACATGTACATATGGGTGGTGAATGTGGTTGTCAATAAATGTATAGATGGGTGGTGAATGTCGTTGTCAATACTTGACATATGGGTGGTGAATGTGGGGAAGATGTGTATGTCCAGGGTGGTAGATGTGAGTGAAGGTAGATGTGGGTGTTGGTAGGAAGTTGTGGGTATAGTCAGTCTGTTATAGTCTGCTTGTACGTGAGTGAGTGAGGTAAAAGGATTCCTTGCAAAAAATGCAAGGAGGTCCATCACAACCCCTTGTATGGCTGCTTCCTTGTCACTTGGGGGCACGGGTGGCCAATGTGGTCGTCTTGGATGCGCAGTTAGCCCCCCAGAGTTGCGTCCATTAAGCGTGGCAGAAACCTATTCACGATTCGCCCTGATTATGTTTCTAGGTTTGTCAGCAAAACCAGAGTTACAGGTTAGTCAACAGCATACCTGTGCTCGTGGGTACTTCCCGGGAGGTAAGACCTGTATCACTTCCTGCTACATCAACTGACACGCCGGGGTATAACTGAAATACTGTCCCAAGCAGCGCTGTCACGTCAAGTTTGTTTTGTTTGATGTTTAACGCCGCACTCAGCAATATTCCAGCTGTACGACGGCGGTCTGTGCATAATCCAGTCTCGACCAGACAATCCAGTGATTGACATCATGAGCATCGATCTACGCAATTGGGATACGATGACATGCATTAACCAAGTCAGCGATCCTGACCACCCGATCCCGTTAGTCGCCTCTTACGACAAGCATGGGTTGCTGAAAACCAAATCTAACCCAGATCTTCACTCACTCACTCACTCCTGACACAGGAGGATTTAACTGAAGTATATTAAAATGTACATTCAATTTGCATACCTAAGTAAGAGTTAAATCGATTTTAGAATCGCCTTTAT